TGAAAATTCTAAAAATCAGAGCACCTCTTCTCCTCCAGAGGAATGCAGCTCCTTGCCAGCAATGGAACAAAGCTGGACAGAGAATGACTTTGACGAGTTGAGAGAAGGAGGCTTAGATGATCAGTAATAACAAACTTCTCTCAGCTAAAGGAGGATGTTCGAACCCATCGCAAAGAAGCTAAAAACCTTGAAAAAAGAGTAGATGAATGGCTAACTAGAATAAGCAGTGTAGAGAAGTCCTTAAATGACCTGATGGAGCTGAAAACCATGGCACGAGAACTACATGATGCATGCACAAGCTTCAGTAGCCGATTTGATCAACTGGAAGAAAGGGTATCAGTGATTGAAGATCAAATGAATGAAATGAAGCGAGAAGAGAAGTTTAGAGAAAAAAGAGTAAAAAGAAACGAACAAAGCCTCCAAAAATATGGGACTATGTTAAAAGACCAAATCTACGTCTGAATGGTGTAACAGCACAAATTTATGACATGAGAAGTCGTTAAGGAAAGAAGCTCTCCAAAGCACAGAAACCCATGAAGCCCACAACTGGGAGTGATGGAGAGAAGCTCACAGTAGGAGTGATGGCCATATGGCACAGTGAAAAGATGCAGTGACCACCTGGGAAAAGCCTTGGCAGATTGTGGAGGGAAGTGGAGTAAGGTTGCAGCAGGCAGTCAGACTTCCACCTGAAGTATTCAGACCAAGCCCTAATTTCCAGGGCAAGGGGATTAAGGCCACCTAGCCAGTTCATGGCCAAGCTAAGTTTGGTTCACAAATCTTTCACTCACCAGCCCTCTCATGCCCATTCCACTGCCCATATTGCCTCCCTAGCATGGACTCTGAGGTCAGAAAAGGGGAGCTAGCATTTGAAAGCAGACATTTCTAGTACTAAATAGGACAAATGAACCAAAAGATTGGTGCATACTGAAGATTTGTCAGTATGTGAAGGCTGCAGACATAGAGAAGGAGCAGTGATACGTGTTATGAAGAAGGCACATTGAAAGACAACCTTGGGAATAAAAAGAAAAGAAACCCTGAGCGATGAATGCCACAGTTGAGGTTGGCATTTACAGTATCTTCAGGTAAATAGTCCTGAACAGAGCTGCAGAAACAGATTTTGTAATCCCTCTGGTTTTTTTTCCCTAACCTAAAGCATATCTAAGATATGCTCAGACATATCTAAGACTTTATCTGGTATTCTTGCTGAGGACAGATCTCTGAATCATGATGATTGATAAACACAGAAGGCAACCAAGGATGAACATTTGAACTCAATTACACTCTGACATTGGTCAGACACTTCCTCTAGGCTGTTTCAGATACTCAGTGTCCTGAAAAGAAGAAAGAGGAGGAATAAGCAGGCCCTGCTGTTGGGGACCTCACAGGCTGGCGGTTACCACCTTTTCCTTCCAGCTATTTACTGATTTATTCACTTATCAAGCTTTTACTGAATGCTCGTGAGGAATCTGCATGGCTCTTGCCTTAGGGGCAGGTGGTGCACTACGTCAGTGCTGAATAGAGAGAAATTATCTTCTCCTTGTTTGGAAATAACTCCTTTTTACTTCAAATGACTTGGTTATCTGTTGCTGCATAATAAACCACCCCCAAAACTTCTGAAAACTATCTATTATCATCTCTTATTCTGTGGGTTTACAGGGCTCACTGAGCAATTCTCACTTGGAGTCAGATGTCACTGGCTGGAATAATCTAAAGGCTCAGCTGGGCTGGATATTCAAGATGGCTCACATACATGGCTGACAATTGATGCTGGTAGTCAGCTGGGGGTGCGGCTGGGGCTGTCAACTTGAGCCCCTACATATGACCTTTCCATGTGACTTAGACTTCTCACAGCATGGCAGCTGATTATCCCCAGAGAAAGCATTCCAAGAGACCCAGGAAGAAGCCTCAAGGCTCCTTTTTACCCAGCCTTGGATGTCCCAGGAAGTCCCCATGTTTCTATTGTCTCGTCAAGTCACTAATGTCAACCCAGATACCAGAGAGGGGAATGAGATTACACCTCATGTTGTAAGGAATGGCGTGTGTGTTTTGGGAGGGAAGGCGTTGATGATCACCATTTTTGGAGAGGAGCTGTCACAATGGCCAAACTCCGGAATATCACACAGAGGAAGGCTGAGAGAAGCCCCTTCCCTTTTGGGGGTAAATATTAAGTGCAAAAATAAGCAAAATGGTTAACTAGAACTGGGCCCAAAGAGAATAGTGACAAGATCAGAGGAAGTAAGAAAGAAAGGAAGTCCCTTCTAGACCACAACTTCCATACAATCCGTGTGCAGGCTCATCTGGAGAAAGGTGCAGGTCCTACATCTGTCAAGCACGGTGTTAGGCCCTGGGAGACAAAATAGAAGGGTCTGTGTGACATGGCATCATAGAGAAAGACTGATACTTTCAAATGCATGTAGTAGATGTAGATGCACTCTGGGCTAAAAAGGGAGGAAACAGTCCACTCTGTTTGAGGTTTGTGTTTGGTATTACCAGGGAGGGGAAAGCTTTCATAAAGGTGATCTTGAGGGAAGTCCTTTGCATTGGGGTTACTTTCCCCACTCCCAAGAGTGGTCATGAGACCAGTGGCCTTCCTTGCCATACCCATGGACACTGCTGTGATTCCTGTTGCTTTGGAGATGTCAGAGAGGAATGGCCTGCAAGGCAGTCTAAACTCTTGTGAGTTGACAGCTCCCCCTGCTGATCAAAAGGCTGATTGGAGCTAGGAAACAGGGATTTTGAATAATCCTTAAGTAATTCATTGACACTGGGGTTTACTAGACTACAACTCACATAATTTAGAAGTCCCATGAACACAGAAACCCTTGTGGTGTTCAAATGTTTTCATGAAAAGTAACCATCACCACCTCCTACCATGGGATTGGCTGCCCAGGGCAGAGGGCAGGGGGAGGGAAGTGAAGTGGTACAGGTAAAAAATTTAGTGGTGGCACAGAGCACCCCTTTGTGGCCACCATAGCCAGAGAGACCACCATAACAAGAGTCTGAATCTTCAGCAGAGCCCCTGAGCCCTGGCTACAGCCTTCAGGCTTCTGTATCTCCATCCTAACCCCCTCACACAGATCAGCATATTGAGTATGCAGATGTGGGGCTTTCTTTATGAGCTGTGAGCTCCATGAGGTGAGAGGTCACAGACAACCTAAGCAAGACAGTATACCAAGTTCCAATCACATGCTTGGTGTGGAATGGGCATTAGATATGGGTTTGATGTTACTGAGTTGGTCTAAAAGTGCTGTGTTTTTTTGTGCATACTGAACAGAGAGTAGTCCTGTCTAGAGCTGTGGGCTGCAAGGCTCAGGAAGCATTCTGAGAGTTTCTTGCTGGGAAGGCATTATATCAGTCAGTGAGAATAGGTGCTTTTTCCATTTCTCTTTACATAGCCATCTTCTTGAGGTTGCCTAAGAGTACAGGTTCTAAAAAAGAACATAGAAACCAGTAAAATCACAAAATAGCAATTCAGGTTGAGTTTTAAAAATCATACTTTATTCATTCTCTTACAAGTGAAAGAACATTTTTTAACGACTGGGTCTTAAAGCCAGCCCTGAGGTTCTACAAACAGGATTACTCAGACCAACTGTGGAAAAAGTTACATTACTGGTATTTATTAAGCTGACTTCTTCAAAGTATTTTAGTCTCATCTTCTTGGACTGACATGAATACAAGAGGAATTTCTCAAGGACTCCTGTGGCAAGCTGGCTGAAGAAGACTTATTTTTAGCTGTGTCCTGACAGTGCTGGCATTGCACACTCAAGGGAAAGCCCCAGAGACCCTGAGTTCCAGAGACACAGAGCCTCTAGGAGCTGCAGATTGACCCCAGCTGCAGATTCAGCTGGAGCCCATGGGTTGGTTTAAACTACCCAGCTTCACTCAGATGACACCCCAGACAGGGGTTTCAACCATAAGAGCCAGGCAGAGGTCTGAGGTCCAGGTGATCCTCCTGTGATGGCTCCGATTCCCCCAGTAGTTTCTCATGGATATGCTGGTATCTGGTACAATGAGCACATTTGGAGGGCCTTCCAAATTACCCATTCCCCCAGGAAAGCCAGCAAGTTACTCTTGCTGCTTCTGTGGAAGATCTTCTCAAGGACCATGGGTTGACAAGTTCCTGGACCTATGGCTGTGGCCTGAATCCATGGGGATGAGTCACACCACATGTGGCTTGGTGTGGCCTCCATAACAGTCCCTCAGGCTAGGGAAAATCACTGCACCCCACAGGAGTAGAACATGAATCAAGTCAACTAAAGAGCCTGGGTTAAAGCCCCATAATTTCCACATTAGTTCCATGAACCCTGAGTTCACGGAAGGGCAAGTGTCACAGAGCAAAACCCCAGAGAGCAACCTGAGTGCAGAGCCCTGGCCCCCAGCCAGCCTGGCTCTAGGGCTGCAGTAGGACTGGCAGGAAGGCAGAGGCCAGGCGCTGGGTACCTAGAATTTGGAGGGGGTGAAGCGTCTGAGAAAAGCCGGTAGGGAGCCAGGTGAGAACAGGGCCAGTGGTGTCAGAAGGTAAGTGTGTAAAGACACAGTATGTCAAGTAATAACAGTGTGGCTATGTTATCTGAGTGTCTCTGTCTCTGTGTGAGTGTCTCCATTGCAAGCTGGCCTGTTCCCATGCCTGGACCCCAGGAGAGCCCAGCATACAGGCCACACCCATTCCCTGATAGTGCTGGATGCAGGGAGCCCCTAGCCACCCTGCTCCAGTTCTTAACTCTCCTCACCCTCTGCTTCCTGAGCATGGTGGGGGCTGTGTCAGCAGATCTGCATCTCACCAGCCTGCCGTATGTCAGCCTTGGCTGGGACATGAGGTGCAGCCACTGCCACCATCTAACAACCAGGCTCTGCTTCATTCCTCCTGTGCTTGCTGAGTTCATCCTCACCCTAACTGCAAGGGACACCTACCCTGGTTCCCTAATCCTGAGGATGCTTGACTGCTGGACCCTCCATCTGTGGCTTGTCATCTGTGCTTGATTGTTCTCACTTGGTTACAGGCTCTCCCTCTCTGCCAGATAAGTACCGCCATGCCCGTGAAATGATGTTGTTGCTGCCCACATACCGGGACCGCCCAAGCAGTGCCATGTATCCAGCAGCCATCCTGGAGAACGGACAGGTAATAGACCCACCACACTGACTGCCCTCTGCTGCAAGTGTGTTAGCCTGTGCTTCCCTCCTTGCATTTGCTGGGCCTTCTGCATTGTTCTACATGCCTCTCTCATTCCGCTGTAAGATCCCTCAAAAGGCTGCTGGGCTCCTGGATGTGGAGTGCAGTGAACCTGAGGACCAGCAATCCAGACAGAGTGTAGGCGTGAGTAGAATGGTGGCAGGAACCACCGTTGGAACCAGCACTACTCATGTAGCTATCTGTCCTTCCCGCCAGATTCCTGGACTCCTCATCCCTAAACAGTCTAGCGGAGGTCATTGGTTCTTTGCAGCCTGTCCTGAGAAGGCAGTGGTGGACACATTGGTCTGGAAGATGTTCTTCCTCCCTATTTGTGTGGCATCCTCACTGGAGCAAAGTCTGCCTCTTTTATTCATCCATCCAGCTGAAGTCCCTCACTACCTGCTGGGCTGTTCTATATGCCATTTGCACAACTCTCCAAATGCTCTGCCTGGGGACCTTGATCCAGAAGCTATAGGGATTAACTCCCTCCCCTGGGCAGTCTGCCCCCGCCATTCTATCAGGGTCCATAAAAGTCACCTCTCAGTGACCATTACCTAGCCTCAGAATGCCAGGAGTTTCTTAGTGGTACCTCCCTGTGCCTGATCGGCTCTGCCAGCTAGAGGGATGAGGTTTGCTTGGCAGCTGCCCATCAAAACAGCAAGTCCTGTCTGTGACTCTAGGCTTGATGCTGTCCTTTCCTCTACCTTCGGCGCTAACACGGGCCTGTGCAGGGCCTCTCCAGGAGGCTAAACCTGTCAGTGCTCATGGGGAAGTGGGGATCTCTCTGGCCAGACAAAAGGATGCAAACAGATGCTCCCAGGTAGCTATGTTCTGTTTCTTGGGCCCTACATAAGACAGCCTGGGTCCCAGCCAGATAATGGAGGATGATATCGCAAATACTGTGTATAGAAGCAATGAGAACCAGACATCCTGGACAGTCTTTCCTGGGTCTGGCCAGGAGGTCTCAGTATATCTCAAGTGTGAGCTGTACCACTGCTTTGTTTTCCCTGTCTGATCTTGTAATGCCCTGTCTCTTGTGGCCCACAACACTGCCTCCCAAGATATAACTGGTTGTTTTCACTCTCTATAATGTTTATTTCCTTCCTTCAGCCGCCAAATTTCCAGCGAGCCCTGTTCCAGCAAGTGGTCGGAGCCTGCAAACCTTGCAGTGATCCCAATCTGTCTGTGGCTGAAAAAGGTATTGTTCCCCAGGTGGCCTTCCCCCCATGTCTGTCCCCATCCTGAGTGTCTGACTCTTGTCCCTGAGTACCAGCTGGCCAGGGCTAAGCCATACTTCAACACTCAGGTCTGTCTGTCTGTCCAGAATTCTGACCAATTCTTGTGCTCACTATTTAACCCATGTCTGGCTTGATGCTAAGGTTTATATCCTGTATCCCTCCTTCCCCAGGGCCTACCCTCAAAGAGGCCCCAGCTGCCTCCTGCCCTGAGCCCACCTTTATGGAAACTTGGGCTTGTGTGTGCAAACTGTAGACAACTACTTCCCTAGACTCCTCCCAGCCACCCGCAGAATTCAGCAGGCCTTGTGGCCCCTTTGGTCCCTCTCAGCTTGGGCCCTCAGGGATCTTTCCTTGGAGCTCAGAATAGGCCATGGCGAAACAAGCCCCAAGAGGAAGGGGAAAGACATGCTATTTCCCAAAGACAGGCTTCTCCAAGTGAAGCCCAGGGTGCCCCAAAGGAGTCCAGTCCTCCTGTTGCCACTGTGGCCAGCAGCTGCTGTGAATTCATCTTTTATTGCCAGGCCTCCAACCATACTGTGAGACTGAGCAATCCTCCTTAGACCTGTGGCTGTTTAGAGAGTGGGCATTTTACCCTGTGTTCTGCTTCTGCAAGCTGATGAAAGAAGCAGACTCAGACCTCAGACACAGAGATCTGAGTTAATTTTAACAGAGAGTAATACTAAGTGCAGAGCCTTCCTGCCACCCAGAACCTGGCCTCATATCCACCCCTCTCCTCACAGGTTCTCTGCCTAGCTGCTCCATCTATTGGAGTTTAGGGCACATTCAGTTCCCACCAATACAACCTATCATCCCCTATTCCATCAGAACATGTCCCTCCAAAGCTGTCATCATCACGTTATCATCGTACCTGTTCATTGAGTGCTATGTGCTGTCCCCACTGTTATGCTCTGCCTTTGCTCATCATGGAGGACATACCTCTGTGTCCTCTTTAAAGAGACAAAAAACTGATGGGCACTGAAGCTGGGTGCCCCACCACAAAGGGCCTGGAGACTGGCTGAAGATGCCTTCATAGCTTCAAGGTCGCATATCCCGAAAACATGCAGCTTCTTGGACTTCTGCACCTGTGACCCAAAACAGAGTGCCCTTTTCGCCTGGAGGGCCAGAATCCACAGTGGCATTTCTTCAGCTGAGATGCAGAGCAACGTCAGAAGTAGCCAAGAGTCTAGATGGGCTTAGAGCTCAAACAGGTGCTGTTGGCCAGACCAGGACCCTACCCCAACCAGATACATTAGCGCTTCAGGCCTCAGGCCAAGGCCAGACTACATCAAGGAGCTGGACATGCCCACTACTAGGTGTGGAAGGAAAGGAGGGTTGTCTCAGAACAGAGGTGAGCCCAGAGCAAGCATATCCATACTACAAGGCCAGCATTTAGAGGGCAGCTAATCAGACATTTGCCCAGTGGCAACACACAGGCCGGAGTGTAGCTCCCTAAGTCTCTACCTGGATCCTCCAGGGCAGGAACTGTACATACTTGTCATCATTCTCTTGTCAGTCAGGGTTCTGAGTCCCATGAGGACTACATCTCTCACAGGTATCTCTTTTTGCCACGCAGTGACTCCCAGATCAGGCGAGCCTGCCCTCAGGACCATGGGCTGTGCACTGGCGGCCTCAGGCCAGTGCTGGACAGTTGTTAATGGTGAGGGAGGGAGGCGACAGGATACAGTTGGGATCACCCCTCTTTTCCTACGATAAGTCATTCTATATTAGCCTTCCCTCTAGCCCCAGTGCACATGTGCTACATGACAAAGGTCTACTGGCCCCACTGCTCATAGACATCAGGCTGCAGGGCAAACTTGATGGTTTCTGGTTTACGTGGAGTCACTCAGGCAGGCACCCTTTTGTAAACCATTACAGCCCTGTCAGCTTTCTTCTCCCATAGCCTTCCTGGCCTAGAGCTCCTTTGAGCCATTGTGGGTGAACATCTGCACCGCTTAATTCTTCCAGGGCTAGGTGTGCATCTGAGATCCTGGGCTGTCAGAACCCCTTTAGGGAAGCTGCCCAGACTCATTTCCAAGCTTCCTATTCCCTGATACTTCTTTGGTGGCTTTTTATGGAGAAGGTGCTTTTTTTGGCAGAGAGGGGAAGGTGCAGGGAGCCTTAGCACCAAGAAGCTCATGCTGCATCTTGTAGAGAGTGTGGGTGAGTGGGCCTGTTCTTGGGATGGCTCAGGCTCTCTGAGGAGGCTATTTGGTGAAAGCCATCTGATGCTCATTAGATGCAGAATTATTTCCTCCTTTCAGGCAACAGCTAAGTGTCTTGCCTGCAACTCAATCGTTGGCACACCCCTCCTTCCTGCCACCAGCAATCAACAATACCAGGAGACTGGGCAGTTCTCCTCAGAACTGAGGCTGTTTAGACAGTGGAGTTTTACCCTGTGTTCTGCAAGCCCACACCAGTTCCTGAGCAATGAGGAAGATGATGATGATGGATGGATGTCACAGTCTTATCCCTGGAGAGCTGAGGGGGCCCAGCCCTTCTGGCCACATCCTTTTCAAAGGACAGACTCTAGTTCCTTCCCTTCCAAAGCTTCTCAGCTCCCATTAGGCCCTGAAATTCCCCTCTCTGTGTCTAGACCAGGAAGAATCCAAACCTCAGGCTCAATGTAGCTACTACGGCCTGAGAACAAATCCAGTGACAGCACCTGGATTGTGAGCTGCTTCTCTGCTGCTAATAGCCCAAAGGGGAGAGTGGAGTTGCCTGGCTCCAACAGAGAAAGGACATATTTCTTTTTGCTGGTATTTGTTCTCTAGGAGGAGCTGGCCAAGAGAATTCACATGTCCACTGCTGCTTCTGCAGAGTGGCACCCTCAGACCCCAAGGTCCAGCCATCATTCCTCTCTCCTCCTGAAAACTCTGTCATCCCAACTGTGGCTGAGGGGACAGTATTCTGGCAGTAGACTCCTTCTTTAACACAGAAGGGCACTCTGTGCTTCCTTTTATCCTGGGCCCACTGCACCCTGCATCCATGGCACGTGGGTGCTAGGAACTGGGGTTCTCTAGATGCCAAAGGGCACTCATGGGCTCCACAGCCCTCCCTCCTCCTGTTAGGAAGCAGTGAGTCCAGCTGAATCTGGGCTGCAGTTTCTTCCAACAGGTACCTGTCTTTGCTCCCTGCTTTTCCTACTGAGCCTGGGCAGTAGGAGAGCTGACTCTAGACTTTGGCAAGGAGCTCTATGTCCTGTGTTCTCTCTATATTCTCTCATTCTCATCTCTACTCTTCTGTCCTGTTTTCTCTTCTCCTCTGGGCGGATCCCAGAGGCTGCAGCTGTTCACTCCTTGCTGCACATTCAGCTGTCTCATCCTGAATACTCTTTAGATATAAGCTCACTCTGTTGCCCTCCTCTTAAGCAGCTTCAATCCCTGGGCAGTCTCCCCTGTGGGCCACAGTGCCTTGCTTGGCCAGTGTTTTTAGTTCCAGGTGCTGGCATGCCCCACACGTGTGCTGGATACATGGTGCACACTGGAGAAGCCACAGGCTGTACTTCTCCCAGAGGGTGGCTCAAGAAGTAACCTCCCTTCATGCCATCTGTTTCCACCCTTCAGCTGTGCCAGCAGCCCCCAGCAGCTGGAGTCTGGATAGCGGAGCCCAAGAGGCCCAGCCCTTCCTGTCTGCCCATATGGGGTGCATCCTGGCCCCCCCAGTGCCTCCCCGAAGCCTGCTGCATGGTAAGAAGACCTCCAGCGGGTCCCCAATAGTCCCTGGTCTCAGACTCTGCTCAAGGGCCACAGCAACAACCATCTAAGCTGAGAAGATTGGCCATTCTCTGGGCCGACTCAGCCAAAGCAAAAACACCCCCACCACAGGAAGGATCCTGCTGGGCTTTGGGGTCAGTGAGGTTTCTGAGTACAGCAGGTTAGCTCAGGAAGGCCATCCCAACTAGAAGGCTGAAGACAATGGAATTGACTTTGCCAGGCACACTTCTCACCAGACTGTTTCATCGCCTAGCAGTCGGCTACAGCTGCCGCTGCCTGAGGCCTGTTCCACAGACTCTGAAGCACTCAACTTTTCTGACTTCCTGTGTGGAATGGGTTTCTTCTACCCCAGCAGCCTGTGTTTTGGAGAAGGCCAGTGTAAAGAGAGGTTTATCCATAGCCCTCAATGCTGAGGGGTCCCCAGGGGACTCTTCTCATGCCTGCCCAGTTGGCCCAGCAAGATGGTGCTGGCATGAAGCCTGTGCAGGGCCCCCAGCTGAGGCTCTGGTTCTGTTCCCTTTGCAGGTCATTACTCCCTACACTTTGACGCCTTCCACCACCCTCTGGGTGATACCCCCCCAGCCCTCCCTGCCCGGACCCTGCGCAAGGTAATGTACTGAAGCGGCAGCCCCACCAGGCTGTGAGATGAGTCATCTTGTCTGCTCTAGAACCACCCTTGGGGTCTACAGGAGGAACTGGAGCCCTCCCCTTCACCTCTCTCCCCAGCCTGGCAGAAGCTGGGGGTGGCCAGAGCCACACTTGAGCTGCAGTTGCACACTTGTGTCCTGCAGCAAATGTGATGGGGGCAGGGAGATCAGAGGGTCCTGGAGACAACAACACACAGTTCCAAGAGTGTGTGGGCAGTGAGCACTGGGAAACCTGGGGGCTGTCAGCCAGCACCAAGGTATCAACACACCATAGTTCGCTAGCTAAACAAACGTTCCTGTGGTGGATCAGAGAGCATTTCAAACTAGAATTCAGTAAAAGAAAGAACTTTATGAAAAACTCAGGAGAGTAAAATTTCCTACCTGTTAGTTTGTCTGCAAATTGGAAAAGACTGAGTCTATCACAGATTTTAGCAGCAGAATACATTCCTCTAGTCCATGGCCCACCAGGGTTCTTTTTGTCCCCCTCAACAGGCCTGATGACCCAGCCTTTATGTCAGTATCCCAGAGCCACCGACGGCAGCCTGGGACCTGGGACCAGGGGGCACCAATGCCCAGCAGCCAGGGCAGGGCCATTTTTTGGCCACTGAAATGCAGATGATTCTGGAGTTCCACTGGCTTACTTCAGGGTGGTGGGAGGAGCTGGGAGCTTGCTGCTGAAGAAACAAGAAACATGCTGTTGGTGAGGGTTAAAGTTCATTCATAAGCAGGCTCTTGGTCTTCCCATGGCGGGCAAGTCAGCCTTTCTGGAGAGAGGGATTCTAACATGCCCACCCTTTCCTTCACAGTCTCCTCTCCACCCTATCCCAGCCTCCCCAACAAGCCCCCAGTCAGGTCTGGACGGCAGCAACTCTACGCTGTCCGGCAGTGCCAGCAGCGGCGTGTCCTCCTTGAGTGAGAGTAACTTTGGGCACTCCTCGGAGGTCCCACCTCGCACTGACACCATGGACTCCATGCCAAGCCAAGCATGGAATGCTGACGAAGATCTTGAGCCACCCTACCTCCCTGTCCACTACAGCCTCTCTGAGTCTGCCGTCCTGGACTCCATCAAGGCCCAGCCATGCCGAAGCCACTCAGCCCCAGGGTGCGTCATCCCTCAGGACCCCATGGACCCGCCTGCGCTGCCGCCCAAGCCCTACCACCCCCGCCTGCCAGCCCTGGAGCACGATGAGGGGGTGCTGCTGCGTGAAGAGACTGAGAGGCCTCGAGGCCTGCACCGCAAGGCTTCATTGCCTCCTGGGAGCGCTAAGGAGGAGCAGGCCCGCATGGCTTGGGAGCACGGCCGAGGGGAGCAGTGAGGGGCAATGAGGCGGCTGGGATGCCGCCCTCAGTAAGCAGCTTGCCAACCACTCCAGGTCTGAAAAGCAAGTCCCCCAGCCTGACCCCAGGGAGCCAGAGAGGCTTGGCACTCAGGAGAGAACCACCCCAAGTCTCCATTCTACTGCCGTGAACTCATGTGTTGCCATGTACAGAGGCCACAGCAGCATGAAGGGTTGTGGCTTCCCTTTTTATTTTTTTACATTTCCATTTCTATGGGTTTTCCTTTCTTTCCTTTATGCAGTAGATGCTTTCTTCCTCCTGCAGTTCTGGACCACGTGGAGCTATATGGAGAAATTGCACAGACAGAATCACTTTGCCACACTGCAGGGCCCAGGAGCAGGAGCCCAGGTCCTCCCTCCAGGGTAGAGATGCACAGAATGGAAATTGCACTAAGGACCTCTTCCTTTGCTGTATGGACAGAAGAGTTCATGGTTGCATTCAGGGATTGCAAGGACCATATAGACATGTCACAGGTGGAAAAAGGGCCACAAGCCGTTTTGCACAAATGCCTGTCCACCTGCCCCTCTTCCATCCAGGAGTGTGCTACTGAGGGGCTGGCTGGACCAACCTGCTGGCTCAGGCACGTGACTGGCCTAACTGCATGCCCAGGGAACTGCCAGGGTTCAATGGGCCAGCCGTCTCCTACTCCATCTTGGATTTTTCTCTCCATCACATTATTTCTGACCATTTGCTCCCTTCCATTCTTGAAACACCTCATGCCCCACAGGAGCCCCAGTGGTGACTGGATCTGCAAGGGTTATCTCTCACCCTCTGGGGTTTGAGTGGAGGTATGGAGCCAGAGGGGCTATCCTAGCCACCTTCCTCCTAGGGGGAGCTGGTCCCCTTCCTAAGTGGTAGAGACTGGTGTTAAGAGTGAGTCTGGGGTGTGGCAGGCGCCAGAAATCCTCGAAGCTTTCAGAAGCGTTCAGAATGCCTACCATCAGCTCCTGAATCAGGGATTTTCAGCACTACCTCTGAGCCATGGGGGTGGCTGCCTAGCCAGGCTTCCAGGCCCTGAGGACATGTGGTCAGGTTCAGCAGGCTCCTTGGTAAAGAGGGTGGGAGGGGGCTTCCCCTTTTGGAAGCAGATAGCCATGCAGGTAGAATTATCATCTCCCAAGTGGCCACATACAGCAACCCGCTCCAGGCCATGGGGACCACCACTCAGGGTTTGGGGCTGGCAGGAGGGCAGTTTCTCCAGTCTCCCCAGTCTGTTGGTGTCTTTATAGGAAACTATAAAGCAGAGCAGTGGTGTCTTTAGAGGAAACTCATTCAAGTCAGGGCACTGATTTTCCTCTCAGTTTATTATTTGGGGGGATCGGGTCAGGTGGGTATAGTAGTACTTCACCAGGGTGCTTTTAAGTTACTTTAAAAAAAAAAAGCCTACAAAATATTTCTTTTCTTTTATTTGCTCAAGTTCACATTAATGATAGTCACAAGGCTGCCTTGTTCGGCAGGCATGTTGCCCCCATTTCCTCTTCTGCTGGCCTGTGTGACCTCCACAGCCAGGCCCTGGGCCCGAGCCCCTCGTCCCTTCTCCACTGCCCCTATTTCCAGACAGTAAAGGCCATGGTCAGGGTGTTTTTCACTTGTAAACAAACCCCAGCTTGTTTAACAGAAATGCTAATAACCTACTGGGAAAGATGGAGGTCTAAATTACCTTCAGGGTTTTTCTGGGGCTTTATCATCAGTGTGGGTCCCTTCTGATACCATCAGGCTCACTCCAGGCGGAGTGGGGCAGAAGGCTGCTGAGGATGTGGGTCAGTCACAGCAGCCCTCACCTCAAAGGGCTGGCCTGCTTCTCAGCCTACATTTATTTGCAAGCTTCAATCTCTGGACCATCTGGTGTTCACAGGTGTTAGAGGGTCGGGGCTAGCTTCAGATTTGATTCATAGGTAGGAGAGCTTAGATTTTAAGGCACTTCTGAACGTCAATCCCTGGACAAGGCAGTCATCCCATAAGAACAGCTACCTTCTCCACTTCGTGGCACAAGAGGTAAGGAGGGGAGTATGGGTTCATTTGGCTTTGCATTATGCAAGTTGAAACCGTTTGTTTCCCCTTTCCATTTTCCCTAACTGAATGAAAAGGACACATTCTGAAATCCCTTTTGTTGGAGAATTATTCAGTCTGAGGGGAAATGGGAGGCCAGAGATGAGAACCCTTTGAGAAGATTGTAAAATAATGATTTTCATTCTTTCAAGCTTATTTGTAAATACCTATTTGAATGCTGTGTATTTGTACAGGAATTTGAGCAAAAAATGTATAGAGTGTGATGTCCAATTGGTATTCAGCACTATAAATGTGTTTTTAACCTCACGCATTCTGTGCTTATTTAAAACAAGAAAACTTCTAACCATTCTTTTGTGTATTCATGTTTAAAGAAAACAAGTGATTTAAAAATGATCTTACCTGTACCAGAAAAGCAAAGTTAAAGGAAACAAAATTTGTACCATTGTCCCAAGAGGTATTTTACTGTATATATTGTGGTAGCATGTTCAAAATCCAACAAGTAATGTGAATTTTAGATGTAAATATCTGCCACTTGATTTTTTCCCCCTTTCCCCACTTCCTTGACTGCTGTGATGTGAATTAAAGATGAATATCTGATAATGATCCACTGAATTCACTGAATGGGAGCGGAGGGTGTGCCCCTCTCCAACCCTTGTCGCCGGGCTCCAAGCCCTTTTTAGCCCCATAGACATGTCCTTTTGCCAACCCTTCCCCAACGCAGGAAGCCAGGGGGGCACCTGAAAGGAGGGCAGTCGAAATGGAAACATCCTCCAGTGCTTCTCTGCTGATCCCCGGGACCCCACTGAGGAGGCCCCTCAGCAACAGGGGACCCCCAAGGCCTAGCGGGGAGGCAGGAGAAGGCGGGCCAGCCACTGAGCCACGCTTCTGAGCTTGTAAGGGCACCTCCCGAGCCCCTCACCTTCCCACGCTGAGGCGACCCCATATCCTCGACCGATGATCCGGCCCGGGCGCTGCCCTCCACGGTCTAGAGTGGCGACCCAGCTTTGAGATTGGCGCGCCTTGAGCCCTTCCTCCGGATGTCCCGCAGTCCGTCCACCCCGCACGATTCCTGTCAGCCTACGCACGGCGGGCTCCGGTCAGGTGGAGGTTCAGCAGATGGGCTTCCAAAGGTTGGGTCCGTTGCCCACGCGTAGGAAAGAAGAAAAAAGGAAAGAAACTTTTTTGAATCTTGCCTGCGGTCGCCCGCCCTACCTGCCTAACCTGCTGTCTTGGCTGACCCCAGAACAACTGCGCCACGAGTCGGAGTCCAGGCGAGGAAATCCGCAGGGTTTTTCGAGCAAGCCTGGGGCCCAGAGCAGGGGTACGCGGGTCAACTCAACAGATACAAGGCAGTGGCGAACCCCATTTCAGCTAGCGGTACCCAGCCTCAGTAGAGTCACTGCCCTAACCCAATATGGCGGCCCACACCGCTTCCGTCGCTGCTGTAGCCGCTTCCTGCGGCCGGCCCGGGTTCAATCAGCGGCCGACAACTGTCTAGGGCTCAGACACCACCAGCCAATGAGGGAGGGTAGCGTGGAGCCGCCCGTCTGGGCTCCACGGCTTATGGACCAATGGAGATGTGGCGTGTGGGAGGGCGCGGAGGGCCCCCCGCCAATGGGGAGCTACGGCGCGCGGCCGGGACTTGGAGGCGGTGCGGCGCGGCGGGTGCGGTTTAGTCGGTCGGCGGCGGCAGCGGCGGAGGAGGAGGAGGAGGATGTGGGCTACGCAGGGGCTGGCGGTGGCGCTGGCTCTGAGCGTGCTGCCGGGCGGCCGGGCGCTGCGGCCAGGCGACTGCGAAGGTGCTGGATGGGGGGCCTGGGGCCGCGCTCCGTGACCGTTCTGGCGACGGCGCTGAACCCCACAAAATCACCAGACGGCGGGGGCCAAGAGGGCGGGGGCGAGGGCTGGGGCGGGGGCGACGGGGGTTCCCGGCGGGGCCTGCACGAGGAGGCTCCGGCGCCCGCCCTAGTAAATCTTGCCCGGGCGTAGAAAACATTGGTCCGACGAGGAAAAGTTGAGACTAGATCCCGTTGAAAACTTGGCCTGAAATCTCCATCACGCCTGAGTTATTGTCCCCACCACCGTCCAGAGGTTACCGCTCCCCGTCCGACGTCGGGAGCCCCAGGGCTGGCCGTGGGTGCTGCGCCCTGTCTGTTGGGATCACGAAGCTGCACCTCTGGGTCCGCTGTTGTATTTGGAAATTAGCAGCAGCATTTTGATGGTTTTTCTCCTCACCTTCCAGTCTCTCCATTTACGAGGTCACAGTGAGTCCCGTCTCAAGGACACGTGTTCACCATGGGCTTAAACTTGATGAAAGGAGCAGGGAGGAGTCGTTTATAGGTCATTGGGTGATGCTTGGTCTTTTGATTACCTGGGTGTACCAGGGGACCCCTGCCACTTTGAACCGGGTTCCGTCTACCTGTAGGCAACTGAGAAAAATCGGTGATGGAAAAGCTCACCTCTAATGATTCATCCCCATGTCTCCTATTAAAATTGTTGGCGGAGTTCCTTCCTGGTGGATTGGAACGGCTTGGTGATTGCTGAGCATCTCCCGTCCCTCTCTTTTCCAGTTTGTATTTCTTATCTGGGAAGATTTTACCAGGACCTCAAAGACAGAGATGTCACATTCTCACCAGCCACTATTGAAAACGAGCTTATAAAGTTCTGCCGAGAAGCAAGAGGCAAAGAGAATCGGTTGGTAAGTAGTTGGTGACCCTCCCCAACTGGCCCTGGCTCATGTTAACCCTTAGCTTCACTAGCCTTTTGATAAAAGGCCTTGCCCGCCTCTCTATTCAGGAAGCCAGCTACTCTCCATAAACTAATGTGAGACTGAAGTGTTTCTATGTCCTTCCCAAAGCAGGCATGTATTCTGCAACTGTGATTTTTTTTTTTTAATCCTGTTAGTCTTTATTAAGCACCTACTATGTGCTGGGCACTGGGAGTATCAGGGGAAAGAAGTGACAGTCAGGCACACAAATAATGCAGTGTCTGGGTGTCATGATGAAAATGGACCAGTAGGTGCTGATTTAGAGTGGCCATGAAGTCTCTGAGGAAAGGTTATCATTGAAGTGAGATAAGAACATCCCATACAGGAAACAGCAGTGTGAGTGCCCAGAGGCCTGAACGAGTTTGGCATGTATGTGGACAGGAGAAGGTGACAGGGTGCCCACAGGATAGGCAAGGGCCAAATCAAGACAAGAGCCCTAGTGAAGCAATGGGTTTTCTAACTTTAATTTCCCTGGCAGTCTCTGGCTTATCTGTTAAAGGTTTGAACCCTGGTGACACTTAAACTCATTTGGTGGCTGCCAGCTTGGACTGAGCATGTGTTAAGAGTCCAGGGTTTACACTGACTGAATCTGACTACCAGTACAGGCAGGGCACTGAAAAATGCAGCTGTGCGCCAGGTGCGGTGGCTCATGCCTGTCATCCTAGCACTTTGGGAGGCCAAGGTGGGAGGATTGCTTGAGCTTAGGAGTTTGAGATCAGCCTGAGCAAAGTGGTGAAATCCCATCTCCACAAAAAAATGTTTAAGCCGGGCACGGTGGCTCACACCTGTAATCCCAGCACTTTGGGAGACCGAGGTGGGTGGATCACCTGAGGTCAGGAGTTCAAGACCAGCCTGGCCAACATGGCAAAACCCCGTCTCTACTAAAAAATACAAAAATTAGCCAGGCATGGTGGCAGGCGTCTCTAATCCCAGCTACTCAGGAGGCTGAAGCAGGGAGAATTGCTTGAACCTGGGAGGCAGAGGTTGCAGTGAGCCGAGATAATGCCACTACACTCCAGCCTGGGTGACAGAGTGAAACTGTGTCTCAAAAAAAAAAAAAGTTTTAATTAGCTGGATGTGGTGGCCCACACTGGTAGACCCAGCTACTAGGGTGGCTGAGTGGGAAGGATCACCACCCAACAGATTGAAGCTGCAGGGAGTCATGATCGTGCCACTGCATTCCAGCCTGGGCGACAGGGGGACCCTATCTCAAAAAAAAAAGTTAGGCCCTACCAGAGAGATGATGTTTCAAGGTGTCAGTATGTTTGGAGGCGATGGCTCTCAAGCACCTCCTGAAGGCCACTGTCCTTTCTTGATGCAGTGCTACTATATCGGGGCCACAGATGATGCAGCCACCAAAATCATCAATGAGGTATCAAAGCCTCTGGCCCACCACATCCCTGTGGAGAAGATCTGTGAGAAGCTTAAGAAGAAGGACAGCCAGATCTGTGAGCTAAAGTATGGTGAGTACGCCTAGTCCTTACTTAATGAATGCTGTGCACCTTCTGGGTTTATTTCCCATCTGGGAGAGGAAAATGATGAGCTAGAGTCATGAGTGGATTGTATCGTTTGACAGATGGTGCTAAATGCTGGAGGGCTCTGGCATGGAAGTGGGTGGAGGTCAGAATAGGCCTTATTGAATAGGTGATATTTCAGCAAACTTTGAAGGAGGTGAGGATTAGCCAAGAGGCCAACTAATGGAAGAGCATTCCAGGCAGAGGCTACAGGCAGGATAAAGGTGGCCAGTGGCATGGCAAGTCAGAGAGCATTGCAGGCTGGTGAGGGCTTTTAATCTGCGTGAAGTTAGGAGCATTAGGAGTTTTTGAGCAGAGAAGTGACATGGTACGACTTGGGTTTAACAGGCTGGTTCTGGCTGCCAGCTCTGAAGCCCCAGTGATCTTTACTATTCTGAAAAGAAACGCTATGTCCAAGTATGCAAGCCCAAGAGTTAGGAACTACAGCATCTCTCTTGCTGACTGGGTCTCTGGTTGTACATAGTCCCAGTCTTCAGAAACAGGGCGTCTTCTGAAAAACTTGAATGGCCAAGGACCTGTGTTCGCCCACTTGGGTCTTCTGAGAGTCATCCTGGTACAGGTCCAGTTGGCTCCAGGTCACTGTGGTCATGGAGAGTAAGTTCCTCAAGGGCCTGAGCAGGGCTGCTCTTTGTCACCAGCCTGGAGCTGTTAGTCTGTGGTGACTATGTCAGAGGCCCTTGGAAGATGGGAACCACGTTTCTCTTGTAAGGACAGTGTGGCCTCTGTCCCTATCCTTGTCCACACTGCATATCTGTAGTAGACACAATATGTGGCCAGCCTTCCTGGTGAAGAGGCTAGTTCCCTCTTGTGGTGGCAGTAGGCACTGACATGCCTGTAAATGTGTCTGGAAATGTCTCTTCCTCTGAAACCAGTAGGGCTGGTTTGGCCATTCGGGGAGTGATATATTCTGGGACTACTGGGGGACTGCGGCTGCTCCACCCAGCCAGTGACTCTCCCTGCTCTCTCCTCCAGACAAGCAGATCGACCTGAGCACAGTGGACCTGAAGAAGCTCCGAGTTAAAGAGCTGAAGAAGATTCTGGATGACTGGGGGGAGACATGCAAAGGCTGTGCAGAAAAGTCTGACTACATCCGGAAGATAAATGAACTGATGCCTAAATATGCCCCCAAGGCAGCCAGTGCACGGACTGATTTGTAGTCTGCTCAATCTCTGTTGCACCTGAGGGGGAAAAAACAGTTCAACTGCTTGCTCCCAAAACAGCCTTTTTGTAATTTATTTTTTAAGTGGGTTCCTGACAATACTGTATCAGATGTGAAGCCTGGAGCTTTCCTGATGATGCTGGCCCTACAGTACCCCCATGAGGGGATTCCCTTCCTTCTGTTGCTGGTGTACTCTAGGACTTCAAAGTGTGTCTGGGATTTTTTTATTAAAGAAAAAAAATTTCTAGCTGTCTGTGGAGAATTATGGTGAATACTGAAATGGGGTTTTGCCCCAGAAGGTTCCTACCAGTTTATGCTTTCCAGTTGCAAAGTTTGGGGGGATATTCATTTCCATTTATCCCTCAACCCACCAGCGCTGAAAAGATCAGAGCAGGACATAGGGGCTAGGGCCCGCTGATGTGCCTGGGTGTGTGCCACTAGAGGGCAGCAGGCACCTCAGCAGAGAGGAGGTAGGGGGTCCTGGGCTTGATACCCTGTCCCTTGATACCGTATGTCTTAGCCACCCAAGAGAGCTGGAGGCCACAGCTTTAGGAGGAGTGAGTCTGGATACATTGGAGGGCCTTAAATTGTGGCTCAGTAGAAGCAAGACAGGGTGTGTGGAGTGTGGTTTTCCGCAAGGATGTCTTCAATAACAGTGCATGTCAGCACTGACATCTCGATGCTGTTGGCCTGGCCACCTACTTGCTTTTTTGTCCATTCCAAGCCTCTGATGTCTATTCCAGTTTTTGCAAGACTAGCAGGAGTCAGCTTATACAAGGAGGGAGTGGGAAGCTGCCTTTTGCCTTTGTTTACCCTACATTAGTCACAGTTGAGGTCCAGGGTTTTTCTGGAGTCTGCTTCTTAAGCCACGCTCTGTGGCATTGGTGCTTAGGAAACCCAGTTGTTAGTGTGAGCTGTGGCTCAATGAAAACACCTGTAGAAACCACCTGAAAGGACGAACTAAGAACCAGTGCTTTCCAAGGAATTGCTCTTGCCTCAGATCACTTGTGTCCCCTAAGCTCAGTTTGCCAGTAGGAGGCCTTACAGGCTGCTGTGGAACCCGTTGCTTTCTTCCAAGACCTTTCCCCCTGCACCTGCCTGAGCTGCTCCAGGAGCTGCTTTCTCATTGTGAGAAGATGCCATGACTTGGTGTGCTCTTCCCCATCGCAAGGATTCTGTGCCGGGAATTGGGTCAGGTTCTACCATGGCTCCAGCAACTGTCCTTGGAGAATGAAAGCTTCCTCAATAGGCTTGAGCACCTGGGCACCCTTTCCCTCACCTCACCTGGGGAGAAGAGGTTCTCCTGAAGGTGATGAACAGGAGGGTACTGGCCAACGAAGGGTCAGCGTGGCAAACTGATAACGGCTGGCACTATCTGTGCATATGGCCTCTTCTTCATCCTTATCTCTTGTGGCCCTACCTTTCCAGCCTGCTGTCTGCCCAGATGCCCACAGAAGAGGGTGGGACCCAAGAGTGGTGTTAGAGAGTCTATTCCAACTGAACTGCAACTGCAGGCTTGTCTCCGCTTACCTGAATGACAACAATTGTCCTCATGGCCTTTTCGGGGACTCCTGCAGGTGAACCTACACGTGGAGAATGCGCGGAATGTGGGCCTTGGATCCTGGACAGGGGCTAAGGAAGGGCATGGATTAGTCCTTGGGGCTGTCAACCCCAGATCCCAGGCAGGAGATGCCAAGGAGGGTGATGCGGGGTTTGCTCAAGCCTAGTCCTGGGACTGAGGGGATACTAAAGAGACCACTGACTGGGTTAATGCCCCGGACCCCAACGCCCATGGAAACTGTCACTCTTGCTCCAATCAGCGCAGGCTCCAGCGCCTGCAGGAGGAGGTAGTTGGACCCAAAGCGGCAAAGCACGCCAGGGAGCACAAAGCGTTAGGTCGTCCCGCCGGCCTCTCAGGGTTCCCTACACTCCGCGTAGCCTCAAGCATCTGCCATACGGGCCGCGCGGTGGCGGCAGAGCGCGCGGCCCAGGCCCACTCACCCGGCACTCACAGGGTCACATGGCACTGGGCGACGCTGCGCGATGAGGCAGGCCCGGCGCGGGTCTCGCCCCGCCCGCCGCAGGGTCACGTGGCACGGCCGGCGCAGCTTGATAACGCAATGCCCGGCCCCTAGGCGCCGCTCCCGCCCCGCCCCGCCGCCACCGCCGCGCCGAGTCCTTTTGTCCAAGATGGCGGCGCCGGGGGCGCTGCCTCCTCGGCCGCCGCCGCCGCCGCTGTGAGAAACCTACGGGCCGCCCGCCCGCCGCGCCAGCGCCATGAAGCGGCAGAGCGAGCGAGACTCTAGCCCGAGCGGGCGCGGCTCGTCATCGTCGGCCAAGCGTCCGCGGGAGCGCGAACGGGAGGCGGAGGCGGGCGGGCGGCGGGCGGCGCACAAGGCCTCTGGCGGCGCCAAGCACCCGGTTCCAGCGCGGGCCCGCGACAAACCCCGCGGCAGCGGAAGCGGCGGGGGCGGGCATCGCGACGGCCGCGGCACCGGGGACGCGAATCACCGCGCGAGTAGCGGGCGCTCCTCGGGCTCCGGCGCTGGCGGCGGGGGACGCGGCGGCAAGGCCTCGGGGGACCCGGGCGCCTCCGGCTTGTCGCCCCGCGCGTCTCCTCTGCCGCCGCCTCCGCCACCGCCTGGGGCTGAGCCCGCGGGTCCCGGCTCATCTGCAGCCGCGCCTGAGTACAAGACGCTGCTCATCAGCAGCCTGAGCCCCGCGCTGCCTGCCGAGCACCTCGAAGACCGGCTCTTCCACCAGTTCAAGCGCTTCGGCGAGATCAGCCTCCGCCTGTCGCACACGCCTGAGCTGGGCCGTGTGGCCTACGTGAACTTCCGGCACCCACAAGACGCGCGCGAGGCCCGCCAGCACGCCCTGGCCCGCCAGCTGCTGCTCTACGACCGCCCGCTCAAGGTAGAGCCCGTGTACCTGCGCGGCGGCGGCGGGAGCAGTCGGCGAAGTAGCAGCAGCAGCGCCGCCGCTTCCACGCCTCCCCCAGGGCCGCCCGCGCCCACCGACCCGCTCGGCTACCTCCCGCTGCACGGAGGCTACCAGTACAAGCAGCGCTCGCTGTCCCCCGTCGCTGCCCCGCCCCTGCGGGAGCCCCGCGCCCGCCACGCCGCCGCAGCCTTCGCCCTGGATGCCGCCGCTGCCGCCGCTGTGGGACTGTCCCGAGAGCGGGCCCTGGACTACTACGGGCTGTACGACGACCGTGGGCGCCCCTATGGCTACCCAACTGTGTGTGAGGAGGACCTGATGCCCGAGGACGACCAGCGGGCCACGCGCAACCTCTTCATTGGGAACCTGGACCACAGCGTATCTGAGGTGGAGCTGCGACGGGCCTTCGAGAAATATGGCATCATCGAGGAGGTGGTCATCAAGAGACCTGCCCGTGGCCAAGGTGGTGCCTATGCCTTCCTCAAGTTCCAGAACCTGGACATGGCCCATAGGGCTAAGGTGGCCATGTCGGGCCGAGTGATTGGTCGCAACCCCATTAAGATAGGCTATGGCAAGGCCAACCCCACCACTCGTCTCTGGGTGGGTGGCCTGGGACCTAACACCTCACTGGCAGCTCTGGCCCGGGAGTTTGACCGCTTTGGGAGCATTCGGACCATTGATCACGTCAAAGGAGATAGCTTTGCCTATATCCAGTACGAGAGCTTGGATGCAGCCCAGGCCGCCTGTGCTAAAATGAGGGGTTTTCCCCTGGGTGGACCAGACCGCAGGCTCCGCGTGGATTTTGCCAAAGCAGAGGAGACTCGGTACCCCCAGCAGTACCAGCCCTCACCACTCCCTGTGCATTATGAGCTGCTGACAGATGGATACACCCGGCACCGCAACCTGGACACCGACTTGGTGCGGGACAGGACGCCCCCACACCTTCTGTACTCAGACCGAGACCGGACTTTTTTGGAAGGGGACTGGACCAGCCCCAGTAAAAGCTCTGACCGCCGAAACAGCCTTGAGGGCTACAGTCGCTCAGTGCGCAGCCGGAGTGGTGAGCGTTGGGGGGGAGATGGGGACCGTGGTTTGCCCAAGCCCTGGGAAGAGAGGCGGAAACGGAGGAGCCTTTCCAGTGACCGTGGGAGGACAACCCACTCCCCTTATGAGGAACGGAGCAGGACCAAGGGCAGTGGGCAGCAGTCAGAGCGGGGCTCCGACCGCACCCCTGAGCGCAGCCGCAAGGAGAACCACTCCAGTGAAGGGACCAAGGAGTCCAGCAGCAACTCCCTCAGCAACAGCAGACACGGGGCTGAGGAACGGGGCCACCACCACCACCACCACGAGGCTGCAGACTCTTCCCATGGGAAGAAGACAAGAGACAGCGAGCGCAATCACCGGCCCACGGAGGCTGAGCCCAAGCCTCTTGAAGAGCCAAAACATGAGACCAAAAAGCTGAAGAATCTTTCAGAGTATGCTCAGACACTACAGCTGGGTTGGAATGGGCTTCTGGTGTTGAAAAACAGCTGCTTCCCCACGTCTATGCACATCCTAGAGGGGGATCAGGGGGTAATCAGCAGTCTGCTCAAAGACCACACTTCTGGGAGCAAGCTGACCCAGCTGAAGATTGCCCAGCGCCTTCGACTGGACCAGCCCAAGCTCGATGAGGTCACACGACGCATCAAGCAGGGGAGCCCCAATGGCTATGCGGTCCTCTTAGCCACCCAGGCAACCCCCAGTGGGCTTGGCACTGAAGGGATGCCCACAGTGGAGCCAGGTCTGCAGAGGCGGCTTCTCAGGAACCTGGTCTCCTACTTGAAACAGAAGCAGGCCGCAGGGGTGATCAGCCTGCCAGTGGGGGGGTCCAAGGGCAGAGATGGCACAGGCATGCTCTACGCCTTCCCACCCTGCGACTTTTCCCAGCAGTACCTCCAGTCAGCACTAAGGACATTGGGCAAACTAGAAGAAGAACACATGGTGATAGTCATCGTCAGAGACACTGCCTAGCCCAAGCCTGTCTTTCCCAGCGTCATGTTTGTGTCACAAAAGCAGTTATTTTAAAAATCTGATCCCCTGTCTACCTTACCACTTTGGTTTGAATTATCTCCTGGGTTATTTTGGTTCATTTGGGTGGGGATCAAAGTCCTGTCCAGCACCAAAACTAAGTTCTTAGAATTTGGGGGAATTTTTTTTTTTTTTTTTTAAAAACAATGATGAGAAGGGAATCCGGTTATGTTGATTTCTAGTGTACAAGATACTGTCTGCTGTGGTTCTGTATTTTTTTATTTTTTGACCAACTGTATGGAAAGTTGTCAGTAAAACCTTTGTCAGGATGGATTTTTAAACCTGTTCAGAGTCCTGGTTTAATCAAGCTAAGAATCGAAGACTTCCCTAGTGCATGTACACGAATGTCCTACGTCATCTTTCCAGCACCACTGCTGCATAGGTCACTCTCGGCCTCTCAGTTCTTCAGGCTGAGTCTGGACTCTAATCACTCATTTTTATCTTGGCTGACAGGCAAGCTTCAGTTTGGGCTCTGGACCCTGCCACACAAGCCTGAGTAGAGCCCATGCAAAGGAAGGGATGGGGTGAGCCCAAGGCCTGTGGTTAGCAGCTACTGATGGTTTTTTTCTTCCCTAAACGGTGTGTGTGTCCATCAGTTTGAGCTGTGGCTGTTGGACAGAGTGCCCACTCAGCATATTTGGCAGCATGTAGCCTTCAGCAGCTGTGTAGTCTTGTACAAAGAGAAGCTGTGCACTGTTGATGCCAGGGGGTCTCAGGGCCCCTGATCTGTCCAGGCTCCCTCTGTTTTGGCCTCCTTTCTAGCCTCACTCAGCCCGGGGATATCCAGCGTTGGGAGATGGAGTTGCCTCATATTCCCAGGGGCCCAGCAGTCCAAATACTGGAATGGAGGGTTGGAGGCAGCCTTCCTTGGATTTACTCATGAACTTTGCCTAGATGTTTGTGATTTTTGGCTTTCTCTGGGTCGTTCAGGGCTGATGGGTAATAGAGCAGGCCCATGCCCAGTCATACCTAGAGCTTTGTGGGGGATACTGAACCGCTAGACTGAAGTACTTTTACAAAGCTACAGGGGAGCACAGTGGACTAGGGGATGCCCTTGGTAACTGATGTGACGGTTTCCTAGGTGCAAGATCAGAGCATGTGCCTACACTTTGTACCCTGATGCTGAGGTGGAGCCCATTGGGAAATAATATTTTTCTGGGGGTAAGTCACAAGTCACTGAGGGGTCAAGCAGTGCTAGAGGTTGAAGCCACTCAAGCCAGTTGGGGAGGGAAGGGATGCAGAGGTGGTGTGGACAGTGTGGGCCAGGGAGGAAAACCAGAGCACAGTTGTCACCATGGAACACCCCAAATGCCACTGTTCAGAGTGTCTGTGTGGCACTTTGGATGTTCAAAGGGAACATTTTGAGGGCTGATGAGAACAGAAGCTCTGGTAAGCGAATGAGCCCCTAGATAATCAGGAACTCCCGATTCTGCTGGCCGTGGCATCCTCTCACCAGGTCTGGTCCCTTACCCGAGCTGGGATGAGGCAGCATGAGTGACACCTGAGAGTAGAGGCTGGGGCTCAGTGCAGGCTGTGGAGAGGCCACGCTGGTCCACAGGAACACTTGGCAGTGCTCTTGTAGACCCCTCGGTGATGTGGAATGGGCAGGCGCTTCGCAAGAGAGCAAGCACGTTCATAACAAAACAGCAACACAAGGACATGTTAAACATGTTTATTTATTTGCCTGTTTTTACTTGAGCTGTGGTCACAGCTTGCTAGGTACCTAGCAAGTCAGCTGGGTACAGCAGGACATGCCACCATTCCAGGGTAGCTGGTACTGCCAGAAACAGGAGTGGGTCTTGTCCTGTTGAAGGCACACTGCAGGGTTTTTCCTGCAGATCTCCAACAAACGCCTGAGTCACAGGCCAGAGCTGCCTTGGTATGTAAGTCCAAAACTTCTCTGGGCTACCTATCTTCCTTCATGAAGCGGGTGCTCAGGACCCGGAAGAATCTACCTCCCAGCTTTCTGAGACAGAACCAAGTAAAAGGAAACATGCTAGAAAACGTGCCTGGAGAAGACACTTCAACCTTTGCCTTATCCAACCCCTCTTCAGAGAAAGGTGCCCCATGGCCCCAAAAAGAACTGCCAAGTTTTGGTGAGGAGTAACACCCTGGCATGACCTTCCTTCTCTTTCTTGGCCCTCAACCACTTCCTCTGGCTCTTAAGACCCAGCAGGTTCTGTGAACTCTCGGGCCTTGGCCAGCACTAGTGAGGGGAAGTCAGGTGGTCAATGCCCTGATGATTTTATGAAACTGCCCCAGTGAGAAAACTCTTACTTCAGGCATCCAGTGACCCCACCCAGGGTTCAGGTCCTGTCTAAGGTGTTGCTTAAAGACAAAAAGGCAACATTTGCCTCACCGGTGGTGTGCCACTGTTCTCATGCTGCCTCCTATGTGACTCCGATTTTGAGCCCTGGTAGAATAAGGAAGAGAGCTGATGCTTCCTTAGCCCCTTAGCACATGTTCCTAAGGGTGTGTTGTCAAGCCAACCCGAATTCTGCCTCCCTATTATAGTTCCTATCTCCCCCTTAGAGACCTGTGGGTGCTCCCAGCAGAGTTGAGACTGGCTCCACTGAGTTAATGACTAGAATATAGTGCTTTCACTACTTCTTGATTGTTAACCTGTTTTCTTCCGATGCTGGTCAGTACCAGCAGTCAGACTATTCCACTGGTTAAGTGTTAACTACCATTAAAGTGAGGCATGAAGCAAAAGAGCTGAGTCCTCTGCTCTCCAGAGGACTAAGAAATACCTGTGTGACACAGACCCACTTCAGTGTGTACAGCAAATTCTATAGTGCTCCTAAGCCCAGCAGGGCTTTACCTGCCCCTGGAGAGTTTTAGCCATCTTGTGTTTCTTGTTTACTTCACAAATTTGTCCCCTCTTCTCTCTGTTAAGGGAGAGAAGTCACTTTAGCTGGATAATACCTATGTAACAAACTGAGCAGCTGTTATTTGGGCAAAATCAAACGAAGAAAGAGACTATGATCTTGTATTTATTGTGGGAATGGAAAACAGGGTGGGGTGGGTGAGTGAAAAGGTAGAAATCCCTGGTCCTTTGCCTGATGGTTACACAGTTTCACCATAGGCCAATTTTAGGGGCCTCTGAAGTATCTTTCTACAAACACAGACCAAGCTCCACTACCCCAAACCTGCCAGGACTGCTCAAGTCCACTGTCACAATCCCTCTCAGAAAACATTAGTGGCCGTTGCCCCAGCTACACAGAAGGCCAAAATGCTCTCACTCCTTAGCTATGCCAGCTGCATCCTCCAAAACTTCCCAGAATACCTCCCTTTCCAGTTCCACCAAATCTGTACTTGGGAGCAGCCTACTGGATCCAGAACATGAGGACAGAGAGCTGCGTCCACAGGGGACACAGCCCTGACTTCTCCTCTCTCCACATTACCCTTACAAAAGCAGGTCCTCCCCATGAGAGAGCTACAGGGCAGAGGCAGACACTGTGAGTAAGCTACTTTCCTCCCCGGAGTGCTCTATGTGGGCAGAACATGCTCTCCCTGCCTCTCCTGGAAGGTGTCTCCTCTATGGCGTGGCTAGAGCTGCAAAAAAGGGACACACCCCACTTGGGTAAAAGAAAATAGGGAAAGGCCATAAACAAAGACAGACTTGTAGTTTATTTTGTATTTTTTTTAAATAAATACACTTTACATTAAAGAAAAAGGCCTTTGATTTGTAATTTCCACATTGGGGAGAAAGGGAAGAAAAAAAGATTTTTGAAAAACTGAATCACAAAGAAAAATAGAGGGAGTGAACTTATATCCTAAGTTCCCTCAACTCCACAAAACCAATATCCACAATGACCATGCTGCCCCCAAACCATGAAGGTGAGTGAATTTAGGCATTTACCCAGCAGACAGAGTGTCTTCCTCCCCCATTCTGGCACGAAGGAAAACAAATTAACCTGACAGCATATGAGGCAACAAAACAGGTTAAAAAATCATATATTATATTTATAATAAAATATTCTTAATCCTTATCAATTTAAGAAACCACGATTTTCCTTTTCATTTAAATACGTATGTAAAAATGCCTCTATATTGTTATTTAGACATCATTTTCTTTCAAAGAAAATGAAGTGCAGGGACAAGAGACCTGGTGGATATAAGTTCATACCCTCAGTTATAAATGCCTGTTTTTTTTTCCTTTTTAAAGTTTTATAAAAAACTATTTCTTGTTCTTTAAGTAAAGAACATTATACAAAGAAAATATATTGTGAAATACCCCAGAGACATGTTTTTTTTTTTTCCCTTGAAAGATATGTCCATTCTAGGAAATGGTGTGGGGTGGGGGTCGGGGGTGCAGAGTAGGGCCTAGTCCCTGTTGTCATTTTTGTGGTTGTTATTGTTTCTGGAAGGACTCTCGGATGCCAATGAGGCTCTCTAAGCCATAATCCTCTGAATGCAGGGCATGCAGCTCCTTAAAAGACAGACAGCCCTGGGAGAAAGAGAAGGGAATATGTTCTGAATTCATTTGACTCAGTTTCTCGCCTGCCAAGAATCTCTTCCAAGCAGTGATGGTTCCTCACTCATTCAGGGATAAGATGATGTCATCTTCCAAATCAGAGTTGTCAGAGCTGTCAGCTGAAAGGGAAGAATAGGGAGAGACAAGATTACACACTAGGCCTATAGGAAGCTTTCATAAAGGAAGCACCTGCACTCATATACATTCATGGTCGAGCAAGGTTAAATACCAGTTTCCAGAAAGAAGAAAACACATCAATTAACTGCTTGGAGCTGGCTCTGGAGAATACTCCTGTTGCTTGGCAACTGTATTCTCCCTGGGACCTTTTGCTCTCCTAAGGGCCTGGACACGGTGCCCCTGCTTCCTGCCTGGGAGGCGCTGAAGGAATCAAGCGAGTGCCATCTGAAGCTTCCCCCCCATGCCACTTTAAATGGCTGCAGAGGGGCAGAGCTGAGGGGACAGTGAGTGAGCCTCTATGGCCCTTGGCCTCTGGTGTCCTTCAAGGATGGGCACAGGCCTGCCTGACCTCAAGAGACCACTACTAGAAAGGCAGGCTAAGACCAGGCAAAAGTGAGAGATGTATCTTTTCTGAAATACCTTAGTCACGCCCTTCGATCCTCAGAAGACCAACCACCAAGACAGAGATAGTCACCCTACATTCATGCCTCTGTAATTTCGGAATATGGTCTGCAAATTATATTCCCAAAAAGGTGCAGGCCAGTTGCAGCAATACAGGAGAAGCAGCTACCCATCCAGAGGCAGGAGGCCAGCAGGAGCAGTGTGACACCCTGGAAGACAGCACTGTCTCTGATGAGGACCCTCTCTGCTTGACAATCTGCCTTCTCTGGCAGCATATGGACACATTAACACTTCTGGAAGGATCTGTTAAGGGGTGAAACTTAAGTGGTAGCAAAAAGGACCCTCGAGATGAGGTAGATACACCATGTCTGGCTGATCAAAATCAGAAAGAAACAGGGTACCTAGCTGTAGGGACTCTAATATTCACTGAGTCAAAGAAAAGGAAAGTTCTCAGTGCCCAATTTGATTACTCGTAGCTCAGGAGGCTATGAAACCATTTTAACCAGGTCCCCGTAAAACAGACAAACCCTGAGCTGGAGCCCTGCAAATACCCAGTGTGTTAAGGGGCAGTCACTAGATGCAAAGAATCCCCTCATTAGCCTTTTCCAGTGCCTAAGAGAATCAACTCTTAGACAAACAGAGAAAGAACAATTCATGTTCCCAAACCTTCCTTCATTTACCATCCCCAAACACAATTTCCTTTAGGAGGAAAACTGAAGAGGACAAAGGAAAACCAAGAAAAGCATTGCAATGATACAGAAAAGTCTTGAAGTAAGCAAAAGAAATGGCTGACAAAACCAGTGTTCCTGGGTCTAAGTGGGCACACTGCACTGGTGAAGAGTAGGAAAACAAGATGGAGATGGCAAAGAACTATTATCTAACACAGCTGAACAAAGCAAGCCTCAGCTCCTCTGCTATAAGAGCTCCAGGAGGAAGTGTCACAGGAAGGTGTAGGGCCTCCTCCCCAGAGCCAAGTCCAGCACCGTGTCCCCACCCCACACCACAAACTTGCCTGATCCCTGCGGCAGCATCCACCGCATCCGCCAGGACTCGTGCTCTCCACAAGCCAATAATGCCAGACCCGCTGGCCTGAGACCCTTCTGCCCAGCAGCTATGCAGCTCTTAAGAACTAAGAATCTTAACCACGCTATCACACATCTAAGAACTGTAAATGCAGCTTAACGAGATCACAGCACAATCTTCTTTAAGCAAATAACTGTCAGACTCAGAGTCTGAGAGAAAACCTCCAGGGCTTGGGCACCAACTCCCCTCTGGTGGTCAGATCATAGGACGCCTTTCTCTATCTTCCTTATCCTTTCCCCATTCTCCAAGTGTTGAAGTGACCCAGTTCTAAACCCTGGTTGGGACCTCCCATTCTGAAAGGTCACTAAGGCAAAGACAATCTAGGTATAATTAATCCCTGTAGTGTTTAACCTATCACTCCACAACATACAGGCTTCGGAGGCAGGGCTGACAAGCACAGACACATAAAGATCTCAGAATCAGGCCGGGCACGGTGGCTCACGCCTATATCCCAGCACTTTGGGAGGCCGAGGCGGGCGGATCACCACGTCAGGAGATCGAGACCATCCTGGCTAACAAGGTGAAGCCCTGTCTCTACTAAAAACACAAAAAATTAGCCAGGCGTGGTGGCAAGCGCCTGTAGTCCCAGCTACTTGGGAGGCTGAGGCAGGAGAATGGCATGAACCTGGGAAGCAGAGCTTGCAGTGAGCCAAGATTGAGCCACTGTACTCCAGCCTGGGTGACAGAGCGAGACTCCGTCTCAAAAAAAAAAAAAAGAAAAGTCTCAGAATCAAGGTGTTTCTCTTCCTAGAGCCAGTGCTCTGCATCTGGAATCATCAAGTCCTCGCAGACTCCAAGGCCTATGTAAAGGTACATGGGGGCACATGGGTGTAGTTTTCTATCATTTCTATGGCTTTCACCCTATCCTAAAAGGGCTCTTCATAAGCCCAGTAAGGTTCAGAGCTACTGCTCTAAAGGATTAGTGTGAGGCAAAACTATGGGTGCTAAGAATGCTCTGCTTGCTGACAGCAGCTGGGATCTTCTATGAAACACAAGAAGAGCTATGGAGTGTGCACCAGATGCCACCTCTGCATCTCCACCTCAATTCTGAAGTCCACTCTGAGACGTCCTCAAGTTGTGATCCATTATTTTCACATTGTAAATATTCTCATAAAGTAACAACATTCTCATAACTGATAAGAGTTAAAGTTTTCCAGATTATACCTTTGGCTTGAAAGAAGGAATTTCCTAAACAGCTAAAAGAGGTAGTAATTGTACAGGCCAAATACAAACTGAGTGGCTTTATATTCAAATTAAGAATGGAAAAATTAAAGTGATGCTGTCTTATTTTGGGAGCACCATCATCAGCTGGCCTGCTGTTTGCTGACCCTGCCAATCTGCCCTGCTAACTACCTGTAATTGAAAGGAGGTATAACTTGTTTCCCATGTCTCACTATTCACATATGACAAAAATGTTCATTAAAACTTGCCCAATGTCTGACCATTGCTTCGGCCTACTCCACTGAATCACCTCAGCCTCCAAGTATGAAAAAACAGAAGTTGATCAACAGCAGATGAACAGATAGAAGACACTACCCTACCCTTCCACCCTCAAGCTTCCTCAAAATACAGCCTTGGTAAGAAGATTCATGTACAGCTGCAGAGCTAACAGGCTCTTTGAATTATTTGCTGATTTTTGCAGGATTCATTACCATAGTCAGGGGACAACTTGACTTCAGAAACCTAATGGGAAGTAACTAGAAAAACTGGAGTTTGTTCCTCAAAATTTGGATTAAGAAAAAAAGGTAAATAAAAGGAAGTGAATGAACCAGAAGCCAAAGGGAAAATATTTGTCCCTTGGCTGTTAGAAGGGATTAGCCAAAGGGAGACACGAAAGGGCTTCTCCACAAGAAGGCCTGCATTTCTTTATAATTCACCCCAAAAAGAACAGCACCTCATGAGGGGCTACTTCTGACCGATTCTAGCCCTGCCTCTGAGCAGAGAGCTACGCTTTGGCCTTTCATTCTAAGGCTAATTCTCTAAAGCAGGAGCTGACAAACTACAAGCCCACCACCTATTTTTGCAAAACAAAGTTTTATTAGAACACAGCCACATTCATTCATGTATGTATTGTCTATGACTGCTTTCTCACTACAACAGCAGAGTTGAAGAGCTGCAATAAAGGCCATATGGCCTACAAAGCACACATATATATGTGCTTTGGAGTGCAGTGGTGTGATCTCAGCTCACTGCAACCTCCGCCTCCCAGGTTCAAGTGATTCTCCTGCCTCAACCTCCCAAGTAGCTGGGATTTATAGGCATGTGCCACCATGCCTGGCTAATTTTGTATTTTTAGTAGAGACAGGGTTTCATCATGTTGCCCAGGCTGGTCTCGAACTCCTGACCTCAGGTGATCCACCCGCCTCAGCCTCCCAAAGTGCTGGGATTACAGGCATGAGCCACCGTTCCTGGCTGCATAAAATATTTACTGTCTAGTCTTACAGAAAAAGTCTGCCAATCTCTACTTGAAAGGTAAGAGATGACAGCCATTTGGTTGGGTTCCATAGTCTGAAAGGAGAGGAGGACAGAGATGCAAAGGTGCTTTGCCTCAAGAGACCAGAACAGTGAATCAAGTTACAGGGTACAGAACCATGGTATGGCTTTGCCCTCTAAGTTGTATAGGCACAAAAGAAGAGATTTTGCCCTGGGTGCCAAGGCTCAGCCTGAACTCTGCCCTATACTTACTGTCCCCCAGGATCAGTTCCACCTCCTCATCTGCATCAGAGTCTTCATCCTCCCCGTCCTCTCCCTCCTCTAGAAGGTTTGCTAGCTCCTCATCAGACGGAGAGAAGTCATTGTCCCCATCTTCCCCTGCGTTCTCATTATTGTCATCCTCTTCCAACTCTGCCTCCAGCAACTGGTCAGTGTCAAGCTCATCTAAATCATCAGTGTCATCATCATCTTCATCATCATCTTCTTCCTCCTGTTCTTCCTCTTCCTAGTAAGAAAGCATAAGGTTCATTAGTACAAACACAGAGGCCTGACCCACGTGGGCCACATGGCAAGTCGACGAAAGGGACAGGGTGGGAAACTGTCAGTAGAAGGGGTAGTGATCTAGAAGAACACAGACTTCATGAGCCAGCCAGACTTGTCAGTGATGGCTGAGATAGGCACACATGTCCCCCAAGACTGTCAAAGCACCCCTCAGACAAGGATTAATGGTCACACAGCCCTTATGCAAGGAAACAGACTACTCGCTTCACAGAAGTCTCTCCCATCAATCTTCTAGGAACCCAAGGGGGCTCTTCCTTCTCACCTGCATCAACCAAAGCAAGGGAAATCAGCTGAGGCACTAGAAAAAATCCTTTTACCTGGAATCTAAAATGCAACAGTTTAACAAAATGGAAGAACACAGCTGCTCATTATCTCCTCAGCCCTTCAAGCTCTTGCCCTTGATCTTCTAACCAAGAATGTGGATAAGCTCCTTAACCATGCTATCATAAACATTTGATCAGAACATTGCAACAAAAGACTTAAAATATAGAACACTAACAGAAACCCATATTTCCTGTTATAAGCCAAAAAGAAAAATAAAGTATGCTAGAGAAACTATCTTTCTTTCCATTCTTACAAGAACTTGCCAAAGGCAAGAAAATTACCAGAACATCAATGAAATACTTTGTTCTAGGGACCCTGGGCTTTGTAAATGGTACATTCTGGCATCTGCCACAGATTTCAGGTTTGCATTAGAATCCCAACTGTTTCCCTTCAAAAGAGAGAGGACACAAAGATACCCACCTCTTTGCTTTGACAGGGATAACAGGCATTCCCAAGTAAATGTAGCTGCCACTCAGGACACTTATCTTTCTGCTCAAACATCAACTGTCAGCCTTGCCAATACCAAAGGATTCTAATTGTTACAATAATAAAATGTAAAATTCATTTAATACATCAACCTAATGAAAGTCAAGATGGAATAAGCCCAACGTAGGCACAAAAAAATTTTTTTGGTTTTTATTATTTTAAAACTTATACTGAGTGGTTACATCTTTTTTCATTTTAAAGGTGTTAGTGCCTGCCAAGCACTTAAAAAACAAGCATTTTGTGCTTACCCAGCCATTAGAAACCAGTGTGTAACATAAGCTAGGATCATTCAGCAGGGTAGCTCCACTTAGTGGACTTCTGGTAATTTTGGAACCACCACTAGTGACTTTTTGATAAACTGTGTAATTCAGTAATTTAGAGTCTTCAAAATTTCTGCCAGCTATGTTGGAAAAACTGAGCCCCTTTTAAATACCTAGTACTCCTAATACTTGTGCAAGTGCATGTATGGTCTGTACCAGATTTTGTGGGAGCATGTGTGTATGTGCCAACACACGCACACATAGAAGGCCTGAGACTATTCCATAGCCTTGACCACACATCCCCTCCAGAGGTGAGTGGATAAATACTAAGCATTCACCCACCTCAAAGGAACTATGAGTGTCTGGAGGCAACAATGATAAACTGAAACACAGACAGGCTCTCAGCCCCTACAAGCACACAAGCTCATACAAATAACTGGGAGAGGAGAGCAGGGTCCAAATACAGGGAAAATCATCCAAGTGCTTACCAGATTACAACTTTTGCCTCTTTTTCCAGGCATATTTTCATAGACTTGACCAAAATTAGCTAATCCACTAACAAAGTGCTGCAGTTAAAAGTAAGTAAAGAAGAAAGCATCCAGGGCCCTGTGTCTCTTTAGGCTTCATGGACAGAACATTTATATTTAAAATTTAAGATAGCACAACTAAAGGTCCATGGTTGAGTGGGTACATGAAAGGTTAAACTGCTCAAATAGGCATAGGCTGGCCAGAAAATTCATGAAGACAATTCTCTTTCATTTTGAAGAACATCAAGGGTTAGCTGATCCAGAAGAACTGAACAAAAAGCTTCCAAATCAAGAGCAATCCTGGAAAATTTTTAAGCAGGTCTAAGCTTTGAACTACATACCATTCCAAACTCTTCCAGCAGCAGACAAATCCAAATTTTACTTAGTTTTATAGCAGAAGAAGCAGATGTATATATATTCATCCCAGAAGGCCACGAACACATCATATGTGACCATGAGAGAGGAGGGGAAATCAGTAGGAAAGAGATCTACCTGAATCTCAAGTTGAGCAGCACCTCACTTTGTTGTCTCTACTTTGTATTTATTGCCCAATGCTGATTTCTCACCATGTATTTTGTCACACATGGACATAGTCATAAACTCACTTTCCAAATTTTAAATCTGAAACCGAGATCATGAAGCAGAGGCTCACAAGACCCATCCAAAATGCTGTGGCAGAACCCAAAAGAGATTCTAGGAAGCCATTTTAGGAGCATTCTCTGCTGGTCAAGTAACTGATTGGTGGCATGAGCTCCTCTCCTTCAGATCTAAAGAATAAAGCTTCCAATAATGAGTGGTCCAAAAAGTAAAAACTAAAAATAATTATTTAATGAAAAAGCAAAGCTTAGCTGGGCACACTGGCATGCACCTGTACTCCCAGCTACTCAGGAAGCTGAGGCAGGAGGATCACTTGAGCCCAGGAATTCAAGGCTACACTGAGCTATGACTGTGCCACTGCACTCCAGCCTAGGCAACAGGGTGAGATTCCATTTTTTTTAAAAAAAAAAAAGGTTGAGCACGTTGGCTCATGCCTGTAATCCCAGCATGTTGGGAGGCCGAGGTGGGCGGATCACAAGGTCAGGAGATCGAGACCATCCTGGCTAACACGGTGAAACCCTGTCTCTACTAAAAATACAAAAAATTAGCCGGGCATGATGGCAGGCGCCTGTAGTACCAGCTACTCAGAAAGCTGAGGCAGGAGAATGGCGTGAACCTGGGAGGTGGAGCTTGCAGTGAGCCGAGATCATGCCACTGCACTCCAGCCTGGGTGACACAGCAAGACTCTGACTCAAAAAAAATAAAAACTTTTTTAAAAAAAGCAAATTTTGCTAGAATCCTGACTCAACTCTGACAACATTTAGATAATGTTTTGGATCCAGGGATATTGTTTTTTTCAGTTCTCTAAGACTTCTTTTAGGGCTCCGAGGAATTCAGGGTCAGACCATTTTAAATTAAGGTACTAATAAATTTCCCTACAGAAAGAATTCTAAAACTCTTCTCTCCTTAATTCCACCTACATCAATTTCATGGTTACCCAAAGCTCCCAAACCCTGCAGATAAACAACTCACCCCTTTCCTTTACAGAAAATAGGCCAACTGGCGTAAGTTCCTTCTGCTGCTCTCTGGTCCCCTCCACATCTAAACCTGCCTTCAGCCTGGTCTGAGGAGGAAGCATGCTGCCTACTCCTGCTCTGGATCTCAGCCAACCCTGAGACCCTGTTACCACAGACACTGTTCTCATCCCCACCTCACCACCACCTTCACACTGGCTTCTCACCTTCCACGCCAAGAGGTTCAGTTCTCCCAAACCTAATAAGTTCTCAATCTACATAGGCTTCAGATGCCTTCTATCTACACTTTGGTCGGGCATGGTGGTTCATACCTGTAATCCCAGCACTTTGGGAGGCCGAGGCGGGTGGATCACCTGAGGTCAGGAGTTCCAGACCAGCCGGGCCAACATGGCGAAACCTCATCTCTACTAAAAATACAAAATTAGTCTGGCATGGTAGCACATGCCTATAGTCCCAGCTAGTTGGGAGGTTGAGACAGGAGAATCGCTTGAACCTACGAGGTGGAGGTCTGGGCAACACAGAGCGAGACTACGTCTCAAAAAAAAAAGTCATTCAAATCTGATCCTGATCTTTATGTAACATGTCATATTTTGCTAAATGTATAAATGCCTACTTTTTTAAAAATACTTTTTCTGTACTTAAAAGCTATAGGTTCACTTTAGGGTCATAAATGTTTGTGTTTTTTTTTCCTCACTGGCAGAATCTAACTCAAGTTACATTTTAATTATTTAGGAAAAAGAGCCTTTCAGGAATCATCACATACAGCTCTGACCAGGTGTGTGTAATCAGTAAAGACTTTTACCATCTGCTTCTAGGCAGTGGAGAACACACAAGAAGCACGGCACACGGTGTGTCCCAAATGCCAAAATGGAGTGGAACACAGACAGCATTATTCCTTTGTTGAGCTTTTTCTTATAAATTTAAGGTTAAGTATAATTAGCTAAAATGTATTGGCTTGTCGAAATCTAGGAGCAATGATCAATTACTCATCTTCAGTTTTATAACTTTTCTAAAAGCCAAATCAAAGATGAATGATTTCTAAAAACACAGGCACCAGGCCTGGCGCGGTGGCTCATGCCTATAATCCCAGCACTTTGGGAGGCCGAGGTGGGCAGATCACCTGAGGTCAGGAGTTCGAGATCGGCCTGGCTAACATGGTGAAACTCCATCTCTACTAAAAATACAGAATTAGCTGGGTGTGGTGGTGGGCGCCTATAATCCCAGCTACTCGGGAGGCTGAGGCAGGAGATCTGCCTGAACCTGGGAGGCAGAGGTTGCAGTGAGCTGAGATCGCAACACTGCACTCCAGCCTGGGTGACAGGGTGAGACTCCGTCTCAAAAGAAACAGATACCAAACTTCTAATGGATAATAATGAGCTTTGATAGGTGACTAGCTTATCTCCACTTTCATCAAATGCCTGAAGGTAGGCAGACTAGCAGCCTCGGGAACCAAATATTTATGGCTTTCCAATACATTGTGTAGGTCTTCATTCATCTAGATACAGCTGTACCTTTCATCCTTTCCTCTTAATCTCCAGACTTATTTAAGCATAAGGACAAAGGACAACTATTTTATGGCATGTCAATTACATCTCAATAAAGCTCTTTATATAAGCTGGACCATTTTATTAGATGGCGGCTGATCATTCAGGTTTCTGAATTTATTTTACTATAATGAAAAGGCAAATTCAAAGGTGTTGGTCACAGGTGCCTGTATCCTTGAGCCATATAAGTCATATCTGGAACATCTGAGAAAACCTGAGAACAGATATCTAGACTAGGACAAAACTTTGAATAGCAAATGATTCATAGGAAAATGTAAAGTCTCTAGTTTTAAAATCAGGTGAAGCGTACAAAGCAAAGTAAAACTAGAGACTGGTTTTCCTACAAAGGAAAGTGAGTTTAAAAAAAAATCAAGCTGGCACATTGTGCATGAGAGGCAGTGGGAAGAAATCTGATGGAGATAGTTAAAATAGCCAAACCCCACCACAAGATTCTAGAAGGAGCATGGATCAACAGAATTAAGATTACTAAGGAGACCTACTCAAATAGATATGATATTATCCCAGCTGAAACATCTCTAAATCAAAAATCAAAATGCCAAGGGTTTGAGGAGATAAGCAGTTCTCTAACAGAGGTCCTTCAAACATGAAATGCACCAGATGGTCAATAAGGGCTGTAATATCAGTATGGAGTGAAACATGCCTAGATCCTAAGAAATCTGGAAGCCACAATAATAACTTAGCCATGTTGCACACCTACCCTGCCACATAGTCTTCTCTGAGCTAGAAAGCTTTCTGGCTCTTCTACAGGCTGGGCCCCAGAGCCACTCCTCAGAGTCCTCTTGAGCCTGCCCCTCTCACTCTTGGCTGTCATGCTGAGGCAGCCTCTTGCTTTCCTTCCTGCACCCAAGTCAAAAGTCCTGACCACTACCATATGCCCTTCCTAATATCTTTCTCCCTTAACTTCTCAAAAGTTAAGCAGAAAAAAAGAAGAATTAGTCAGTCTTTTTCCTGACCCAAGCCTCAGGAAATAAGAGGAGTGTAACTCTTAAATTATTCCCTTATGGTGGCCTCTTGCTTCCACAGCCAGCCACCAATCACCAGTGCCTTTGCCTCTCACCACTCCATGTGTGCAAAAATAAGGCCAACCCAGAGAATAGCCTTCCAACTCCCAAGGTGTCTAGGGCAATCTCAACTTTCCTCTGAGTTGACCTCCTGCTCAAAGACAGACACCAGGCATCACATGGACCCAGGTGATGGTTCCCAGAGAAGACTGCCGCCCACTGCCTTATAAAATGCAAGGATATGGGAGGGCTAGGATAATGATGTTGACAAATAACCCAGTTTTGGCCTCAGATTTATGCTTCAACATGTAACATCCAAGAAGCCTGATTCAGAACTGATACCTGGTAGTCATTAATAAACCCATGGAGGACAAAGCAGTCAACAGTCACCCACACCATTGCAATGTACACGCAAATGGCTTGACAACTACACCCTCTATATCGACCCAAGAATAAACTACGTCTTGTTTCATGATAACTAACATGAAAAAGTAGGCATTAAGGGAGTGAGGTGTGTAAGGTAGCAAACTGAAGTGAGAATAAAAGAATAGGCAGTATTAAGAAACCCACTCAAGGCAACCACATGAAATTTGGAGGACCTAATACCAAGTTCTGCTACCCAGAAAGACTAGAAACATGTACAAGCTCTAACAGCACAGCGCTCAAGAAAACACTAAAATTCATGTCACAAATAAATCAAAGATCTCAAGGATCCATCAGAAAACCTCTCCCTTCTACGCACATCTCATAACTCACATGAGCTTTAGACACTGCTGGCTCCTCTCACCCATGAAACCAAGGCCCCTATAGAGCCCATATAGCTGGAAAGCAGCAAAGGAAAGCCTTTCTACACTAGGAGATCCTTGGCAGCATTTGGTGAAGTTGTTTCAAACTCTACAGCCTAATTATCCTTTACCAGGCCCTGAGGAAAGCTCTGCTGTGATCCCACAGTGGCCACCAGCTGCCCACCACACAAGAGTCTCCTCACTCTGCTCAGAAGCCTATTTCTGCAGATCATGAATCATCTCGGGCCTCTAATAAAACGCATGCTTAGGCAGTCAGAACAGTGAAGACCAAGAGAGCACACACAGGGGATTTTAGGTTGAGTCTCTGTTCTAGCTTTTTCACCCAGGTGTATTTGATCCAGGTATACTGTGTCATCTTTGATGTACAGGTGATGCAGTATTCAAAGGATTTGATTTACAGAACAAATTATATGCTCATAACCTGTAACGCCCAACAGTAAAACACATAGCTAAATCTCAAACTAGCTAAATCTCAACAAAACACCCTTGCTTAGTCCGTACTAAGTCCTACTAGAAAAAAACATGGGTCCTTTGCCCTAGTATTAGACTTGCATCCTTACAAAATTACCATTTTCAAAAATTCTTGCTTTTAAAGAATTATTTTAAATGTAAGTACAAGCTGTTTCGAAAGGACACTAAGAGAAAACTATTACATTAGCCCTAACCACTGAGCATGATTTATCAAAAAGTAGGGGAGGGATGAGGGCAAGAGAGTTGTGGCAATGCAAACTGAGGGAATTGTACTTTCCCCGGTCCTGTGATGCCACTGCTCCTCATCCAGAGCACCTCTGTGCCCTTAAAGAGGAGACAAAGCTGGCTGGGCATGGTGGCTCATGCCTGTAATCCCAGCACTTTGGGAGGCCAAGGCGGGTGGATCACCTGAGGTCAGGAGTTCCAGACCAGCCTGGCCAACATGGTGAAGCCCCATCTCTACTAAAAAAAAATACAAAAATGAGCTGGGCATAGTGGCACGTGCCTCTAATCCCAGCTACTCAGGAGGCTGAGGCAGGAGAATCGCTTGAACCCTGGAGGTGGAAGTTGCAGTGAGCCGAGTTCACATCATTACACTCCAGCCTGGGTGACAAGAGCAAAACTCCATCTCAAAAAAAAAAAGGGACAAAGCACCAAGACTAAAGAATACAATAGTGGGGGGGAAACAGAAATGAACTCAAGAACTGGGAAAGAAAACATTTTTAGTTGCTTTAATATCTGAAGAGCAAAGTCAAATCCTAGTCATTCATTTTCAACTTTATAGTACTCACTCAGCAATAAATACTTCTCAGAAAAGTAGACAAAAGAATCTGCCCTGGAGAGTGTACTCTTGGAAAGAGAATGTGGTGTGAGCCCTGTAGGCTGGAAAAAGTCTGCTGAAACTCAGAAGTTTGAGAAACTCTTCAGAACCCATACTGACACACCACACAGGCAAGTACCTAGCATAATACAACCACAAATTAAAATTCCCTATGAAAACAAAATGGAAAGACTGAGGGACATGATATTATCTACCCACATTTTATATATGTTTAATTTCTCCAAAGCATCAAAATCTTATCTTTACCTCCATCTCACCAAAGTGACTGTTCTGTTTTTATTGACATTGGGAGTATAAAGGGATGCTTATCTGAAGTCAGAACAGGGCACAAAGAAATCTCTAAATGAAAATCAGAGATTGCTAGGATGAGTGCGGTGGCTGACGCCTGTACTCCAAGCACTTTGAGAGGCCGAGGTGGGCAGATCACCTGAGGTCAGGAGTTCGAGACCAGTCTGGCCAACATTGTGAAACCCCGTCTCTACTAAAAATATACAAAAATAGCCAGGTGTGGTGGTGGGCACCTGTGATCCCAGCTACTTGGGAGGCTGAGGCAGGAGAATCACTCGAACCCAGGAGGCAGAGGCTGCAGTGAGCCGAGCTCGTGCCATTGCACTCCAGCCTGGGCAACAAGAGCAAAACTCCGTTCTCAAAAAAAAAAAAAAAAAAATCAGAGATTGCTAAACTTTAAATCGATCTGCAAATGGAATTTACAGGACCATCAGATACTGGTTAAAATCTTGTAATAAAATTTCTTCTCAGTTTCAGTGATCAAGGGTACATGACAAGCCTTATGAATGTGGCAACAGGTAGCAAAGGCTGAACAGACCTTTAAAACCTCCTACAGCAAAAAGCAGAGCATAACCTCTATTAAGCACTGTTCAGCAGAAAGAAATCTCAAAGACCACTGACCTGGTCCTCCTCTTCATCCTCATCCTCTGCCAGACGCTGCCTGCCCACTTCATACAGCCTGCATACTGTGTCCATGTTCAGGGCATCCATGCTGCCTTGATTCTGAAATAGAACACCCAGTCCATAAGGAGCAGTTAGTTTTCAGAAGGTCCACATCCACGCCTCAGCCCTGACTGGTGCCCATGACCTTGACCCTGTAATTATCAAAGCTTCTGATACCCTAAATTCTTGGGCTGACTCTGAAAATGTTATACCTAGGACACATAAAGGGGGATAAAAACAGAATGAAAAGACTTGGTGAGGAACCATCACCCTGGGAACAAACCCGGTGAGAGATCCAGATTCCTCTGAGAAAGGGATGACAGTGTGAGTCCAGAAAAAAAGGAGATAGGATGCTTTAAGCTGTCTTATATTGGGATTTTCTTACTATTTCTCTTTGTACTGTACATCTCCCAAGCCCCATCAAATGAATAGGTTATCAATAATCTACCTTCAGGAATGTATTGACTTTACATCTTATATCAGACAAAATGTAGTACAACTTGAAAATTATCCTAAACATCAGAACAAAAGAGCAGGGCCTCTGCAAGCTCCCTTTACCTCAATGACAGCAAGATAGCAGTCTTTGGTGTCTGTACATAGGTCAAAGATGTTCCGTTTCACATCAATGGTTGCTGGAAAATAGAACATGAGAAGACTTGGGATTGGACTATTGCTGTGACCCTAAAACCCGCTTTTCCTCTAAAGGAATTCAGGATGATTGCTCAAAAGTATTTCCATAACTCCTCTGTTTTTCAATAAAAAATTACAGGCCTCCAGAAAATGAAGGACCTTAAATAAGGAACACCAAAACATGACAACATGATCAATGTCTGTCCCTTCCTGCTTACCTATAGGTTTGTAGTCAGTTGCATTAAATGTTCGGAAGGATGACCCAAAGGGGCTTTTCATCCTCTCTTCCATTAAGTCATCTTCATCATCTGCCTGCAACATAGCTTGAGCGGGGGTTGGGGAGGAAACACTATTAAGAATCACAAACATCCCCTCTTCACAAGTGCAGAAAACATTAATGGCCAATCAAAACAATCTACTTGTATATAGGTTTACATACAGATTCCCTTGTACATAAATCTACTCTGCATCTACTTAGCTCCTCTCAGAGCATCTTCCTTGCATATCCCACCTATTGTGACAAATAATATCCTCAGCCTCTCATCTACCTCCAAGAAGTGTTACAGTACTTACAAGACTTACAACACCAGAAGAGAATAAATGCAAAAGCTCTTAAGTTCATAATGATACACTGGAAAATACTGCATGAAATTTCTTTCCACACAAGATTTCCTTGTTATCTTCAAAGTCAGCTGCCTTTCACCCTAAATCAACATTATTTTCATATCTTTTGTCACCATTTGTACTACCAATTTTTTATCTTTTATGTTACAACTCTCAAATGCTTTCTAGTTCACAAGTGAGAGATGGTTCCAAAAAGAAGTATCAAACTAAGTGAAGGGGTAGAGCAGAAGGAAAGAGAACAATGAACAATAAGATTTATTACCTCCATACATCACTGTTCCCGTGTGATTGAACACCACGCGACACTGATCCAGAGCAGGAACAGTATGCAAAAGATGAAAAGTTCGAAGGTCCCACTAGGAGGGGAATGGTCAAGGAAAGCTATTTTACACAAAACTTATCTAATCTCATGGGAGGAAATTCTAAAATATCACTTTTTTTCCTCCTGCCAGGTATTGACACTTTAAAAGTCAATGAGATCAAGGTAAAACAAATACATGTAGAATGCATATTATTGCATGATGTCTCTGAAAATATCCTAGGGTATCCTCATATACAGGAATGCTTTAAGAGCTCTTTTCCTCCCAACAGTAGTACTTCATTTTCCTCTTATGTGGCAAGTGATTTTTATAGTGCAAAAGTAAAATCCTTCTGAAGACAGATAAGAGCTAATTGAATTTTTGGAGAATTGGGAGGTAGGAAACTGGTCACTCTTACAAACACATAGAAAACATGCTAGTGAAAGTTGTCAGTAATTACTAACACTGGCAACAGTGCTTTGGAGATTTCACTAACATTTCAAACCAAAGGACAGGCACCATATTATTACCAGTGTGGATACTTTAACCAGGTATTGGTGTAAAGATAGAACACATTATTTCTGCACCACAAACCAGACAACAAATGGAAGGTAAGACACGATTGTAAAGGATACAATCTCAGTATTAATGATCACCTCCAGTCCATTTGGATGGAAAACACCACTGATGTTCATATTGAACTTGTCAAACTTGTGGATGGCCTGTGCAGAGCGGACATCCCAGAGGACGCCATCATTTAAGACAAGATCATCTGTAGGATTAAAGGTGGCACAGTTCCTCTTGTAGTTGTTGGCAAGATCTGGGTTAAACAGAGTCAACAGCTTGTTGCCAGTCTGAATATCATAAATCTTTAGAGAAGAAGGGGTGGGAAGAGAAAAATCAGACCAATCCATCCACTGACAAATTTAAAGAGAAAATGTGCAAAGCAGTTTCTAAGATTAACACACAAATTCTCCACATGGATCAATGATTACCACAGAATACTCCTGAAGGGTTACTTTTTGGAGAAAGGCATCAATGAAACACCCTTTTCTCCTTAAAATCACCCAATGTACATATTTTAGCCCTGCCATATTAAAAGTTTCCAAAGTCTATATAATGTACAACCCATGCAGAGACCAGATCTTTCTTATCAGCTTATAAATATGCATGCTGTAACATTTCCAATCTTTAAAAAAAAAAAAATTCTCCGTTAACATAGGAACAAATCAGGAGACACCAGAAGGAAACAATCAAACAAATCCAGATCATGGGAAAAGAAAACTAGCCTGGTCTCTTCAAAAGTCAGTGTCATGAAAACTGGAAAAATAGTTCTTGGCTTTAAAACATTAGTAAGACGTAACAACCAAATGCAGTATGTGAATCACGGCTGGATCCTGGTTGACAAAAAAAAAAAAAAAAAAACTGAAACCAAACACGTCAGGAACAATGGAAAAACTGAGTAAGTATGGACTGGCTATTAGATGATTATGTAGTGGATTATAAATTTTCTTAAATTTGGTAATAGTGTCATTGTGTAATATCATTGTTAGGAGACACGTGCTATAAGACTTAGCCATAAAATGTCATGACACTTGCAATTTTCAAATGGTTCACAAAAACACATTTCATGGAAAGAAAATATGACAAAATATTAAATTGATGAATCTATGTAGTAGGTATATGGACTATTCTTTTCGTTTCTTTGTATATTTTAACATTTTCAAATGAAAAGTTGAAGGGGAAAATCTCCCCCCACCACCTCCCTCTTTTTTCCTTTTTTTGGCCAGACCTATGTGAAGTTACTTATTGATACGTTTAATCATTTATTATACCACGGAGAGGCTTATACCTTAATTACAGTTGGTAACTAAGAAAAACTATTGACTGGGCCTGGATTCCTGTTGTAGAAGCAGAGATTACAAGGTATCTTCTTTATCAGTTGACCTTGTTGATCTTTTTATTTTTAAGTTCCAGGATACCTGTGCAGAATGTGCAGGTCTGTTACATAGGTATACACGTGCCATGGTGGTTTGCTGCACCTATCAACCCGTCATCGAGGTTTTAAGCCCTGCATGCATTAGGTATTTGTCCTAATGCTCTCCCTGCCCCCATGCCACCACCCAACAGGTCCCAGTGTGTGTTGTTCCCCTCCATGTGCCCATGTGTTCTCATTCTTCAACTCCCACTTATAAGTGAGTGAGGACATGTGGTGTTTCGTTTTCTGTTCCTGTGTTAGTTTGCTGAGGATGATGGCTTCTAGCTTCATCCATGTCCCTGCAAAGGACACCACCTCATTCTTTTTTATGGCTGCATAGTATTCCATGGTGTATATGTACCACATTTTCTTTATCCAGTCTATCGCTGATGGTCATTTGGCTTGGATCCACATCTTTGCTATTGTAAATAGTGCTGCAGCAATAAACATACATATGCATGTGTCTTTATAGCAGAATGATCTATAATCCTTTGGGTATATACCCAGTAATGGGATTGCTGGGTCAAATGGTATTTCTGGTTCTAGATCCTTGAGGAATCGCCACACTGTCTTCCACAATCAATGAACTAATTTATATTCCCATCAACAGTGTAAAAACATTCCTATTTCTCCACATCCTCTCCAGCATCTGTTGTTTCCTAACTCTTTAATGATCACCATTCTGACTGGTATAAGATGGTACCTCATTGCGCTGTTTTTGTGTTTTGTTTTGGGGTTTTTTTTTTTTTTTTGAGATGGAGTCTCGCTCTGTCACCCAGTATGGAGTGCAATGGTGTGATCTCAGCTCACTGCAACCTCCATCTCGCTGGTTCAAGCAATTCTCCTGCCTCAGCCTCCCAAGTAGCTGGGACTACAGGTGCGCACCACTATGCCTAGCTAATTTTCGTATTTTTAGTAGAGACAGGGTTTCACCATGTTCGCCAGGCTGGTCTCGAACTCCTGACCTCAGGTGATCCCCCCACCTCGACCTCCTGAAGTGCTGAGATTACGGGCGTGAGCCACTGTACCCCACTCTCATTGTGGTTTTCATGTGCATTTCTCTAATAATCAGTGACACTGAGCTTTGCTTTTTTTTTTTTTTGAGATGGAGTCTCGCTCTGTCACCCAGGCTGGAGTGCAGTGGCATGATCTCAGCTTACTGCAAACTCAGCCTCCTGGGTTCAAGCAATTCTCCTGCCTCAGCCTCCCGAGTAGCTGGGACGACAGAGAGGCGGCCGCCACCACACCTAGCTAACTTTTATTTGTATTTTTAGTAGAGACAGGGTTTCACCATGTTGGCTAGGCTGGTCTGAAACTCCTGACCTTGTGATCTGCCTGCCTCAGCCTCCCAAAGTGCTGGTGGTATAGGCATGAGCCACCGCGCCCGGCCTACATTGAGTTTTTTTCATATGTTTTGTTGGCCACATAAATGGCTTCTTTTGAGAAGTGTCTATTTTTTGATGGGTTTTTTTTTTCTTGTAAATTTAAGTTCCTTGTATAAATTTGTTTTAAGTTCCTTATAGATTCTGGATATTAGCCCTTTGTCAGATGGATAGACTGCGCAAGTTTTCTCCTATTCTGTAAGCTGCCTGCTAACTCTGATGGTAGCTCCTTTTGCTGTGCAGAAACTCTTTAGTTTTAATTAGATTCCATTTGTCAATTTTGGCTTTTGCTGCAATTGCTTTTGGTGAAATCTTTGCCCATGCCTATGTCCTGAAGGTATTGCCTACGTTTTCTTCTAGGGTTTTATAGTGTTGGGCTTTACATTTAAGTCTTTTTTTTTTTTTTTTTTTTTTTGAGACGGAGTCTCGCTCTGTTACTCGGGCTGGAGTGCAGTGGCCGGATCTCAGCTCACTGCAAGCTCCGCCTCCCGGGTTTACGCCATTCTCCTGCCTCAGCCTCCCAAGTAGCTGGGACTACAGGCGCCCGCCACCTCGCCTGGCTAGTTTTTTGTATTTTTTTTTTAGTGGAGACGGGGTTTCACCGTGTTAGCCAGATGGTCTCGATCTCCTGACCTCGTGATCCGCCCGCCTCAGCCTCCCAAAGTGCTGGGATTACAGGCTTGAGCCACCGCGCCCGGCCTACATTTAAGTCTTTAATCCATCTTGAGTTAATTTTTATATAAAGTGTAAGGAGGGTGTCCAGTTTGGTTCCTGCATAAGACTAGCCAGTTTTCCCAACACCACTTATTAAATAGAGAATCCTTTCCCCATCACTTGTTTTTGTCTGGTTTGTCAAAGAAGAAAGCTTCCCTTTACCACTTCATATCGCTCCCTCAAGCTAGTACCCTACTTCTCTGCTTCATTTTTCAGCAAAACACTTTGAAATAATTGTCTATATTGTGTGCCCATTTCTCCCTTGTTCTCATGAACCAACTCTAATGAGGCTTTTGCCCCACCAGTGTACACAAGTTTTTTGTTGTTGTTGCTGTTTGTGAGTCCAGGTCTCTCTCTCTCACCCAGGCTGCAGTGGTATGATCACAGTTCACCACAGCCTCAACCTCTTGGGCTCAAAGTGATCCTCCCACCTCAGCCTCCCAAGTAGCTAGGACTACAGTTTCGCATCACCACACCTGGCTAGTTTTTTTTTTGTAGAAACGGGGGTCTCACTCTGTTTCCCAGGCTGGTCTCAGACTCCCACCTCGACCTCAGAAGTATTTCTTGACATGGTTAACAATGACCTCCACATTGTTCAGTCAAAGGCCACCTCTCAGTTCTCAGCTTATGCAACTCATCAGCAGTTTCTGATCCAGCTGATCAATCCTTCCTTGAAGCACAATCTTCCCTTGGCTTCTAGGGCACCTCTTTTTTTTTTTTTGAGATGGAGTCTCAACTCTGCTCGCGCCGGCTGGAGTGCAGTGGCACGATCTCGGCTCGCTGCAACCTCTGCCTCCCAGGTTCAAGCAATTCTTCTGCCTCAACCTCCTGAGTAGCTGGGAATAAGGCGTGCGTCACCACGCCCAGCTAATTTTTGTATTATCAGCAGAGATGGGGTTTCACCATATTGACCAGGCTGGTCTCGAACTCCTGACCTTGTGATCCACCCGCCTCTGCCTCCCAAAGTGCTGGGATTACAGGTGTGAGCCACCACTCCTGGCCAGGCACCTCTTTTTCTTGGGGTTCCATTCTGCCTTACTGGCCACTATATTTGATTTCCTTCCCAAGTTCCTCATTTGGCAACTCCTAAACACATGCCAGGGTTGTGTACCCACAACCCTTCTATAGTCCCCTTGATGATCTCATATAAGTTCATGGCTCTAAATACTATCAGCTGGGGACAGTGACTCATGCCTATAATGCCAACACTTTGGGACACCAAGGAAAGTGGATCACTTGAGCCCAGGAGTTCGAGACCAGTGTGGGCAACGTTGGGGAGACGCCGTCTCTACAAAAGTACAAAAAAATTAGCCAGATGTGATGGTGCTTGCCTGTAGTCCCAGCTACTCAGGAGGCTGAGGTAAGAGGATTGCTTGAGTCCAGGCAGTCAAGGCTGTGGTGAGCTGTGATCGTGCCACTGCACTGCAGCCTGGGTGACAGAACAAGACCCCATCTCAAAAATAAATAAATAAATACTATCAGTATGTGGACAAGTCCCATTTTATATTTCCCAACCCACACCTCTCTCCTGAACTCCCAATTTTTTGTTGTTTTTGTTTTCAGACACAGGGTCTCACTTGTTTACTCAGGCTGGAGTACAGTGACACAATCGTAGCTCACAGCAGCCTCCAACTCGTGGGCTCAAGCAACCCTCCTGCCTCAGCTTCCTGAGTAGCTGGGACCACAGGTCCCAAGCCCACCAAGCCCAGCTGATTTTGTTTATTTTTTGTAGAGATGAGGGGAGTCTCTCTCTGTTGCCCAGGCTGGTCTCGAACTCCTGGTCTCCCACCTCAGCCTCCCAAAGTGCTGAGATTACAGGCATAAGCCACTAAGTCTGGCCAACTCCCAACTTTTGTATTCAATCCCCATTCTCTACTTGAATGTCTAACAGAATCTCAAATTTCATGTGTCCAAAATCCCAGGGCCAAGGCCCTCCATTTCTCATAGCCTCTACCATGCCTACCCAGGCCCAAACCCGCAGCTCCTCTCATGTGTCAAGCGGTACAACTCCCTCTAACCTGGAAGGCTGCTCTTGCTTCTCTCACAAAAACCAGAGTCATACTTTAGGAACTTTACATCCACTCATGTATCCTCTACTCACCCTCCAGTGTGTTCATCTCACTCAAAAGAAACGTTAAAGGTCCTAACTATCACCTACAAGATGCTACCAGATATGAGCCCCTCACTGACCTCAGCTCTCCTCTCACCTCTCAAGCAAGGGCTTTCCCTTGCCATTTCCTGTGCCTCACGCTGTTCTTCCAGGTATCTTCCTGAACCTCGTGTTTCCTTCAAGGCTCTGCTTAAACATTACCCCATCAGTGATGCTGTCTACCCTAGATAACAGAGAAGTCCCCCCACACCACCACCGATTTCCTACCTCTTACCTTGCTTTCATTTTCTCTGAAACACTTACCACCTAAATTCACCATATATTTATTTGCTTCTTTATTGTCTCCCCAAAGAGGGTCCCTAAAGGCAGGGACTTCATTTCTAATGTAAAACTTACTAAGAATTCAAAAATATCTGTGGCGCTAATGACATCTTTCTCAATGTCACGTTGAGCCCTTACACATTTTTCCCATACAGCTCAGAACTATATTATCACACTTTCAGATTCTAACTGGAAGGAATATCATTAATTTCTAGTTGCCCAAAGGACTTAGGTCCTCACATTCTATCAAGATTTCAGTATGAACAAACGGGCATAATCAGCTTGAAAACAGTGGTTCTTAAGTACTTACGTGGGCAATGTCTCCTTTTGTGCCGATGACCCGATCCTGGGAGTGCTTACTGAACTCAACATAGTGATCTTCTGTGAAGGAATGCCTATGGACAAACAGGAGCACTGAAGTGACAGATCTTCAGGACATATTCCTGCAACTAACTGAAACATGGGTGACCCCCAGCCTCTTGCACAATCACACTCACCTAAAGATCCTGGACTCCCAAAGAGGAAACAATCATACACTTAGATTACAAAGAAAATTTCTTCTATCAGCTTGTCCAAGCAGATACAAAATAATGAATGGGAATTCCTTAGAGAAATGACAAACAGGGCATATGTGCCTTTGAAACACGCAGCAAAGGGGCCAGCCACGGTAGCTCACTCCTATAATCCCAGCACTTTGGGAAGCTGAGGCAGGTGGACTGCCTGAGCTCAGGAGTTCGAGACCACCCTGGGCACCATGTCAAAACCCTACCTCTACCAAAATTGCAAATTAGCCAGGCATGGCGGCACATGCCTGTGGTCCCAGCTAATCAGCAGGCTGAGGTGGGAGGATCACTTGAGCCTGGGAGGCAGAGGATGAAGTAGGTCATGCTTGTGCCACTGCACTCCAACCTAAGTGACAGAGTGAGACCCTGTCGAAAGAAGGAAAGAAAAGAAAAAGCCGGGCACAGTGGCTCATGCCTGTAATCCCAGCACTTTGGGAGGCCGAGGTGGCCGGATCAACGAGGTCAGGAAATCAAGACCATCCTGGCTAGCATAGTGAAACGCTGTCTCTACTAAAAATACAAAAAATTAGCCAGGCGTGGTGGCTGGCGCCTGTAGTCCCAGCTGCTCAGGAGGCTAAGGCAGGAGAATGACGTGAACCCAGGAGGCGGAGCTTGCAGTGAGCTGAGATCGGGCCACTGCACTCCAGCCTGGGTGACAGAGTGAGACTCCGTCTCACAAAAAAAAAAAGAAAAAAAGAAAAAGAAAGGAGAAGAGAGGAGAGAGAAAAGGAGAGGAGGGGAGAGGAGGGGAGAGGAGGGGAGAGGAGGGGAGAGGAGGGGAGAGGAGGGGAGAGGAGGGGAGGAGACACAGCAAAGACTGCAATGTCCTATGTGAACACGGGAAAATACATAGATTCTGGGTCAGGGTCTGCTGCATAATGAGAATGTATATACCTCATAAAAATATCTAGGAATTAAGAAAGATAAAGTCTTATTAAACATGAGTCTTAGATGAGGAAGAGAGAAGTTAACAATAACTGACAGCATCCTCTTTCCCCAAAAAGCTTCGTCTAAAAACCAAATGAAAGGGGGTCTAAACAAACTAGGTAAATAAAACACAGACTAGGTTCCAAAAGCAGATACATACTTCATATCAAATACTGATTTCATTCCCCAAAGTGCAGACAAAGGCTGGCTCCAAGTAGCAGATGTCAGCAGCAAGGACCCATCCTAAAAGAAGAAGGCGCAAGGTGGGTAACCGTGCATTTACATACATGCAGATGTCACTACCTGCCATTAGCATTTTTAAATATATGCATAAAAATGTTGTTGAATTAAAGAGAAAATTTTATAACCCACAGAAACCAAGAAATGGTCAGAAGCCACTATGATTTGAATACATATACCTATAGTGTCCTAGAAAATAACTAAACTTAGGAGAGTATTAAATCCTACTGAACTAGCCACAAAAATAGAACAGATAAAAGGGAGGTGGGAAAAATGAGACGATGTCAAAGATAGTTCCTTTCTTCCTAATAACTTTGCCATATTCCTCAGTCTCCATCTGAAATATGAGTTAACCTCAACCAGACTTTCCAGTTGAGAACTCATTTAAAAGAGAGAGCTCAATAAAGGGTAAGCCTCCTTTACTCTAGTTCACTAATTCATCTTGGAAGAATGACTGACAGCATCCTAGGAAGGAACCCTTACCCTGGAAGGTTCAAGATGTGTGATGGCTGAGTTGTGACAGTTATAGCTGGCCTCCTCCTGTCCACTAAACACATTATAGAGCTTCAGCTGCCCTGTGCAGGTGCCAAGCATCAGGAACCGCTCCCGAGCTGAGAATGCACAGCAGGTGAAGCCACTCTCATCTTCATTGGCTTCCCGGAACACTGAAATAGGACGGAATCTAAGCACAAAAAAAAGGAGAGAATCAGAGGCAAAGAATGTGCAGGGACTCAGAAAAAGCAAACTGCTAGGACAGAAGAAAAAGCACAGAACATTAATGTTTCAAATGGGTTCTTCCAAAATCACAGTCACCTTCAGTGCTTTTTATTTTAAATAAGAAAAAGATTTCCACTTACAAATTTAAATAACAAAAATTCCCATGTTTAGGCCAGACGCAATGGCTCACAACTGTAATCCTAGCACAGGTGGGGGGATCAGTTGAGGTCAGGAATTCAAGACCAGCCTGGTCAAAATGGTAAAACCCCATCTCTACTAAAAATGCAAAAATTAGCTAGATGTGGTGGCGCCTGCCTGTAATCCCAGCTACTCAGGAGGCTGAGGCAGGAGAATCACTTGAACCTGGGAGGCAGAGGTTGCAATGAGCCAAGATTGCACCACTGTACTCCAGCCTAGGCGACAGAGACACTCCATCTCAAACAAACAAACAAAAAAATTCCCATGTTTAAAACCTGTGATCCCATAACCTTTATGTAAGATTTGTCAAGAATCAGAACAGGAAGCAACTTGCAACAGCACAAGTTTGGGAGCCTCCTTATGGACAGTAATGAGGGGGTGTGGGTTCTAGAAAACATACTAGTTGAGATGAGAACACAAAGGATTATATCAATATACTGCCAACAATCACACAAGGAGCCCATGGTTGACAAAAGGTGATACAATTACATTGTTCAAGTATTACACAAAGTGACAATCAGTGGTATTTCAGGCCAACTATGCTGATACTGCCCAGTTTGATTTAAATAAAAGAATCGTTCCAATTCCCAGAGAGTAAGAAGGGGCCTTCTTCTTACCTGCTAAAGATAAGGTGCCTATCAAAGCATCCGCCATCCACCCCTCCATACTTTGGAAATGATGCCCTGCGGTTTAGCCTTGAGGTAAAGTTTATTGGCGCTTGCCGCCTCTGTTTTGGCTCAGGACATTGGTGAGGAGTAAAGAGGGAGAAAGGTGGGCAAGTGGCAACTGGATTCTTGCAGCGAGCATGTTGTTCTCTAAGATACTCTGTGATTATACTGTCCAGCGTAGGTGGGGAAGGAAGATGTCTGTCCAGCTGCTTTTTTATGGCTGGGCTTTGGCTGTAGGCGCCATGGTCCGACTTCTGCCGCAACACTCTGATTTTCCTGCCATTACAGGGTGACGGCCTCTCTCTGATAAAACTGATCCTACCAATCAAAGGGGAGTTGCCAGCATAAGATGGGCCGGGCAGAGCTAGTGGACCCTGGGGAGGCCGTGGCTGAGGATGGGCAGTGGGGGCAGAAGGGGCAGAGGCACCCACGGCAGCATGGCTGCCCAGTCGAGTTGCAATGCCATTAGCGATACGAGGGGTTCGGGGTAGAGAGACAGGAGAAGCAGCAGCAGTGACTGGGGTAAAGGCAGAAGAATGGGAGGCAGCAGTCATGGGCAGGTCGGCCTCTTTTGTCAGCACGGTTGCTGTTTCTCCAAGCCCTTTAGAAATAAGATGGTTTCGTATCAACAAAAGCAGCTCTTTCTCAGGGAAGGAGATCCTTGACTGGGCAACAACATCTGCTTTCTGCAGTCGTGCTAGGGAAACATCAGTGCCAATGAGAAGTGGTTTTCCTGACACCCGTTCAATGAGTTCAGCAGCATACTTGCAGAACTTGACATGGTCACTGCGCTTGTCCTGCAGCACAGGCTCCTTCATCAGCTGCTGGATCTGGCAGCTGCTGAAAAGGGGCAGTTTACTGATGATCTGCCGGACAGTGCTACTGCGAGACAGGCCCACCAGGGCCTTGCAGGCCAGGGCCCGGATCTGGTCTGCATCTGTGATGGGCATCTTAATGGACAGTAAGGACAGGAGCACCTTGATGCCGTTGTTGGACTGAACCACATTCCACATCTTGGCCAGGGTGTGCTCACTGCTTTTGGGGTTCTGAGGCAGCTTTCTCCGAGGAGTACCAGAGATAAATTTACCAATACTGGATATGCGGTTATCTGGGCCACAAACACAATTGATGATAATCTGAAGTGCTGACTTCTGAATTTCAGCATCATGGATGAAGAACTCACCCTCAGCCACTCCCAAAATAATGCTGATACCTAATGGGAAAAAAAAAATTCTGTATTATTCATCATAAAACTAATGACCAATTTCAATAGCTGTTCCAGAGTCAAAATTTGGTGTTCCACTCACTTTGTTTTACTTTAAAAAACTACATTATTTTTGTAAAAACTGCAAGGAATTGTTTGTATAAAGTACAATCAGTTCTACTACAATGTATTTTTATGATCTCATATGCAGTTATTAAATAGGGAAATTATGTCATAATTATGGAAAAGTCATCAAGGTTTGTGTGTAATTTTTTCTGGTTTTATTATTTTTTTGAGGCAGAGTCTTGCTCTGTCACTCAAGCTGGAGTGCAGCGGCACAATCTCGGCTCACTGCAACCTCCGCCTCCCAGTTCAAGTGATTCTCCTGCCTCAGCCTCCTGAGGAGCTGGGATTACAGGCGCCTGCCACCACGCCCAGCTAATTTTTGTATTTTTAGTAGAGATGGGGTTTCACCATGTTGGCCAGGCTGGTCTGGAACTCCTGACCTCAGGTTATCCACCCGCCTCAGCCTCCCAAAGTGCTGGGATTACAGGTGTGAGCCACTGCGCTCGGCCTTTTCTGATTTATTAATTTTAATACATTAAAACCTTAGGAATGGAGAAAGCCCTCAGTTGGGCTGCTACTGTGGAAGCAGAACCCTTTCTACTGTATTTTAAGAAAATTGAAAACAAGTGCCTGTGTCTTAGTCCTATCCTGCATCTTGTCCTGTCACACAACTTCCCATGCTCACCCCAGCAGTGCCCTGATCACCCCTGCTCTTAATAATGTATATTATCAAAGTGTATTTTCCTTTTTTTATATATGTATGATGGTTTCTACCCATTTTGAGCTACCTGCCAATTACTAACTCAGGTTACAAAATTGCTTACTTTGTTTTTTTTCCCCCTTTAACTCCTGGAAAGCTGTGATGCTTAAGTTTTTTACTATCTGCCTCAACCTATTTTTCCCATGAACTTTATTTTTAGTGCAAGACTCTGCAGAGTGTGAGCTTTTCAGGAAAGCTATAATATACCATTATAGCAGAAATGCCAGAAAACCTGAGTTTACTAGCATGACCCCCTTAAATCAAACTATCTGGTACTATGTTTGTATTTTTGTTTTCTTTTTTTTTTTAATTAGTTTCTGATCTGCTGAATGGTAGTCCTTATAAAGGACAGACAAGGAGCCCCCCTCTACTACTTTTGTTCTGAAATCCAAAATTAGGTCAGGTAGGTAACCACAACCAGAGTGGCAAAGAAAAAACAAACCCAGACCAAGAAACAACAAAAATGGCAAAATACAACCTACCTACAGTAGAGACTGTAGATCCAGCCTCATCCAACACGTCCACTGATTCTGCCAACTGGAGCTGGATTTTAGGGACCACAGTAAGAATAGCCAGGACATCCAAAGCAAAGCGCACAGTGTCATTCCTGGACAGTAAGAAGAATTAGTCAAAGGGAAATTAGAATATAGCCACAAGAACCAAGAGAGACAGAGATAGAGAGACACAAACAGACACACGCACACAGAGAGACAATAAATCAGAACCGCTACCACTGTGGCTCTATCTCGAGCTGTCACAACAAGAGAGGATTTTATAGTTACAATGACATTACTTCCAAAAAATACAGCAATAGAATTTTTACCTATCAAACTTCTACAATAAAAAACACAGAATAATCCTGAATCCTTTCATTCTAGCGAAAATATATAGGCACACACACTCTCAAACTTTTGGTGAGAGTAGAAATTAGCACAATCTTTCCAGAAAGTAATCTGGAGGCCAGGCTCGGTGGCTCATGCCTGTAGTCCCAACACTTTAGGAGGCCGAGATGGGAGGATCACTTGAACCCAGGAGTTTGAGACCAGACTGGGCAACATGGTTTTATATTTTTCTATTAAAAAAAATATAGGCTGGGCACAGTGTCTCACGCCTGTAATCCCAGCACTTTGGGAGGCTGAAGTGGGCGGATCATAAGGTCAGGAGATCAAGACCATCCTAACATGGTGAAACCCTGTCTCTAATAAAAATACAAAAAATTAGCCAGGCATGGTTGCGGGTACCTTTAGTCCCAGCTACCTGGGAGGCTGAGGCAGAAGAATGGCGTGAACCCGGGAGGCGGAGCTTGCAGTGAGCCGAAATTGTGCCACTGCACTCCAGCCTGGGAGACAGCGAGACTCCGTCTCAAAAAATATATATATTTATATATATATATAAAAGATATTAGCCGGATGTGGTGGCACCTGCCTGTAGTCCCAGCTTCTCAGGAGGCTGAGGTGGGAAGATCACCTATGCCCAGGAAGTTGAGGCTGTGGTGAGCCATGATTACACCACTGCACTCCAGCCTGGGCAACAGAGTGAGAGCCTGTCTCGAAAAACAAAAAAAGAAAAATGAAAAAAAAAAAGAAAGTAATCTGGAAATATGAAACAAGATTCTTAAAATGTTCATAAACCCTGTCCTAGAAATTTCACCTCTAACAATCTGTCCTAAAGAAATAATCAGGCCAGGGCCAGGCGTGGTGGCTCATGCCTGTAATCCTAGCACTTTGGGAGGCTGAGGCGGGAAGACTGCCTGAGTTCAGGAGTTCAAGACTAGCATGGGCAACATGGTGAAATCCTGTCTCTACTAAACTACAAAAAAAAAAAAAAATTAGCCAGGCTTGGTGGCGGGCGCCTGTAGTCCCAGCTACGTGGGAGGTTGAGGCAGGAGAATTGCTTGAACCCAGGAGGCAGAAGTTGCAATGAGCTGAGATCGAGCCACTGCACTCCAGCCTGGGCCACAGAGAGAGACTCCGTCTCCAAAAAAAAAAAAAAAGAAAAGAAAAAAGACTCAGGCCAGGTGCAGTGGTTCACGCCAGTAATCCCAACACTGTGGGAGGCTGAGGCAGGCAGATCACCTGAGGTCAGGAATTCAAGACCAGCCTGGCCAACATGTTGAAACCCCATCTCTACTAAAAAATACAAAAACCAGCCAGGCATGGTGATGGGCATCTGTAATCCCAGCTACTAAGGAGACTGAGGCACGGAGAACTGCTTGAACCCAGGAGGCAGAGGCTGCAGTGAGCCAAGATCACACCGCTGCACTCCAGCTTGGGCAACACAGTGAGACTCAGTCTCAAAAAAAAAAAAAAGAAAGAATCAGAAGAATTTACATATTAAGATGTTCATTAGCCACATTAAAATAGCAAAAGAATCAGAAAACCCACATAGACAAGAGCAACATATGTGTTACAGTACACTCATAAACTACATTGACAATCATTTTCAAAGAACCCTAAAGAATGAGGGAAAGGGTTCAAAATACATCATTAATGATATAAAAATAAAAAATGTAAGATATAAAATTAAAAATCAGACAATACCAAGTATTGGCAAGAAAGCAGAGAAATGTTGGATGTCTTTTGTAGTTAAAAAAGAAAAAAACGGCTGGGTGCGGTGGCTCACGCCTGTAATCCCAGCACTTTGGGAGGCCAGGGTGGGTGGATCATGAGGTCAGGAGTTTGAGACCAGCCTGGCCAATACGGTGAAACCCCATCTCTACTAAAAATACAAAAATTAGCTGGGCGTGGTAGTGGGTGCCTGCAGTCCCAGTTACTCGGGAGGCTGAGGCAGGAGAATCGCTTGAACCCAGGAGGCGGAAGTTGCAATGAGCCAAGATCACACCACTACTGTACTCCAGCCTGGGTGACAGAGCAAGACTCCGTCTCAAAAAAAAAAGAAAAAAAAGTAGAGAAATGAAAGCTCCTATATATTGCTGGTGGGGAATGACAATGGCATGAACGTTTTTAGAAGCAATTTGGCAATATTCAATAAAAGTAAGAATACAGACACCCTACAAAACCAGATGCTCTACATCATATCCTCAAGAGAGCCTCCAAAAGGAAGTTCATGATACCATTTATTTAATAGGGAAAAAAAAATACAAAAACACTAAATTAGCCATCAATGGCAGAATAAACTGCAGTATAGAAATACAGTGTTTTAAATAAATATTAACAATATATAAATCTCAAGAATAGAAGTGTAAAAACAGCAAGCTGCAAAAGACAAACTTAGGAAAATAACAATTTAAAAACATGCAAAGCAGTACTATATTATTATTTATGAACACAGCACAGATATATATAGTATAAAAACATGAGTGGGGAGAATATGGTTCAAATTCAGAAGATGAGTGACTCTGGGGAGGCAGAAAAAGAACTGAGGGAAAAGCAAATACAACAACATGCCTATCCTGGTTAATGATGGAGCAGTTGTTATACTATTCTCTGTGCCTTTCTACGTTTTGAAAATATTCATTAAAAAGATGAATTTGATTAAAAAGTATAATATCAATTATGTGTACTTACAAATACTATGTAATGAATGCTAAGTAATTTTCTCTTTAAAATATTCTGCATATTCTAAAGCAGAAACATTTACTAATTTTATTTCTAAAAATAAACTTTTAAAATCAAGGACTATTTTTTCAATAATCCAAATACAGGCCGGACAGTGTTTCATGCCTATAATCCTAGCACTTTGAGAGGCTAAGGCAGGCAGATCACTCAAGGCCAGGAGTTGGAGACCAGCCTGGCCAACATGGCAAAACCCCATCTCTACTAAAAAATACAAAAATTAGCTGGGCTTGGTGGTGTGCGCCTGTAATCCCAGCTACTTCAGAGGCTGAGGCATGAGAATCACTTGAACGTGGGAGGTAGAGGTTGGAGTGAGCTGAGATCGTGCCACTACACTCCAGCCTGGGCAACAGAGCAAGACTGTGTCTCCAAAACCAACAAAAAAATAAATAAATACATATGTACCAGTTTAAAAAATGTATTTATACCCTTTCTAGTTATCTTGTGAGCTGTCATAGTCTTTTTTTTGGAGACAGAGGCTCGCTCTGTTGCCCAGGCTAGAGTGCAGTGGCACAGTCTTGGCTCACTGCACCCTTCACCTCCTGGGCTCAAGCAATCCTCCCACCTCAGCCTCCCTACTAGCTGGGACTACAGGCATGCGGCAACACACCATGCTAATTTTTTTTTATTTTTGGTAGAGACGGGGTTTTACCATGTTACCTAGGCTGGTCTCAAACTCCTGATCTTAAGCATCAAACTCTGCCTCAGCCTCCCTAAGTGCTGGGATTGCAGGTATGAACCACCATGCCTGGTCTGTCATCACTTTTTAAACAATTCTCCAAATAAATATAATAACCTACTTTTCCAATATTCTAAAACAGCACTTCTCAAAGTATAGTGTGAAGACTTCGAGAAGTCTGAGACCCTTTCAGAAGGTCCTGTGAAGTCAAAGTTATTTTCATAATAACAAGATGTTACTTTCCTTTTGCACTCTCATTCTCTCATTGCATAGTAAGAGAGTCTTCCAGAGATTATGTGATATCACAAAAACTGAATACAGAAGCAGATACGAGATATTAGGCCAGACATTTTTTCGAACTTGCTAAAATTATCTGGTTTTATTTTGGAAATTTTTCATGAATAATGCAAACATGCAATGGGTTCACTTTTTTTTTTCACTTTTTTTTTTTTTTTTTTGAGACGAAGACTTGCTGTGTTGCCTAGGCTGTAGTACAGTGGCATGATCTCAGCTCACTGCAACCTCTGCCTCCCAGGTTCAATCGATTCTCCTGCCTCAGCCTCCCAGGTAGCTGGGATTACAGGTGTGTAACACCACGCCCAGATAATTTTTCTATTTTTAGTAGAGACGGGGTTTCACCATGTTGCCCAGGCTGGTCTCAAACTCTGGACCTCAAGTGATCTGCCCACCTCATCTTTCCAAAGTGCTGAGAGTACAGGCATGAGCCATCGTGCCTGGCCCACATTTTTTTAGTGCATAAATATTTTTACATTTTTCTGTTTTAATTTCTAATACACTGAACACTGATAGATATATCACAAAAACAAAAGCATTTTAGAGTTCTCAGTAATTATTAATACGGTATAGGTATCCTGAACCCAAAAAGTTTAATTACACCTGCTCCAAGAGTACCTCACTATATTTAAACACTGGGATTTAACAAACATACTATATTCCCCTAAATAAGCCCCTCTTATCTTTATGGCTGTGATTAAATAGGAAAAGAAGGTCAAGCACTCTGTTTATAAACTTTTTTACTATCTTCTCTTAAGATCCCATCTTTTTCAAAAGAGTTTTATTTCTTTTTATATCATCTTCAAATAGAACCTACTCAATTTCCTGATTACATCAGCCACCCTTTTCTGGGCCTTGTCCTGCTCTGCCTTCAACTAATTTGTGAAAATCCTAACAGTGTGTTGAATTCCAAGAGTAAAAGGACAATTTTATATGAACATAATATAAACATTATATATGGTTGTCAAGTACTAGCAAGACACTTAAAGTCTAAGCACTGAAGAATCCTGGACTCTAGCCTCAAGACAAGACTTTAACCCCAGCTCTGCAGCTGTGGCCATGTAAATCACGTACCTTCTCTGACAGTACAGACGCTGATCCTTGCCTATTACGTAATATTTACAATCACCAAGACCATACATATGAACAAGTGTGCTGTAAATTAAAAATCATATTTTCATGCCTAATTTCTCAGTTTCAAGTCCAAAATTTCAATTCAACAAATTTTGTTAAGCATATACCATGCGCAAACCAACATCAACTTTAGTAAAAAGATGCATCAAACTTCATTTGAAATCTCTCTCTGGTCCCACCTTGCATAATAGGTCTTCCAATTGCAGGCAATAGAAATAAGCTGCAACAAGAGTTGCACACAAGAAAGTTTGAGGAAGACTTCAGCTGGTTCCCAATATAGCTGTGCTGGGCCATATTCTATCAAAAATTCCATCATTTCCACAATCTGTTCATGAGTATATGAGCAAGCCTATAAGGAGAGATATACAGTATTATTATTATATATAACTCTACATCTGCCTACTACCTTCTTGAGCGCAGCTCACTGGCCAAGATATTTCATTTTACTTATTTATTTCAAGACAGGGTCTCACTATGCCGCCCAGGCTGGAGGGCAGTGGCTTGATCATGGCTCACTGTAGCTTCAATCTCCCAGGCTCAAGCTATCTTCCTGTCTCAGCATCCCAAGTAGCTAGAACCATAGGCACATGCCACTACACCCAGCTAATTATTTTATTTTTCGTAGAGACAGGGTCTCATTTTGTTGTCCATGCTGGAGTGCAGTGGCACGATCATAGCTCACTGCAGCTCTGAACTCCTAGACTCAAGTGATCCTCCCACCTCAGCCTCCTGAAGTGCTGGAATTACAGGCATGAGCCACCATGCTTGGCCAAGGTTGTAATTAAAAAGTAAATAATAATACCTTTCAAATTCCACAATTCTTAAGTCAAAAGCCCATGTGTGAAATAATGACCATATATTGATTAATCTTTTACCTTATTTATAATTAGACTCATAATATGATTTGTCCAAAAAGAGAACAAGTTTCCTTTGTGCATATAAGTTATAGCTCAAGAGAAAGAAGCATCATGTGACTGATTTCTTTTCAATTTGTGACTTTTTTTTCTTAAGACTGGGTTTCACTCTGTTGCCCAGACTGGAGTGCCATAGCCTGATCACATGCAGCCTCAAACCCCCAGACTGAAGTGATTCTTCCACCTCACCCTCCAGAGTAGCTGAGGCTACTCATGTACCACCATGCCTTTTTTTTTTTTTTTTTTTAAGACAGTCTGTGCCCAGACTGGAGTATAGTGGTATGATCATAGCTCACTGCAGTCTTGAACTCCTGGGTTCAAATGATCCTCCCACCTCTGCCCCTGAAGTAGCTAGAACTATAGATGCACACCACAGGGCCCAGCCAATTTTTAAAACTTTTGTAAAGACAGGGTCTCACTATTGTTGCCCAGGCTGGTCTCAAACTACTGGCCTCAAGAAATCAGTTGGTGATTTTTTAAAAAACATGCAGCTACTCATCTGTATCCCAAAACATATGAAACTCCACAATGATAGAGAAGTAGAGTTATAAACACATTTTCAGAAAAGAAATTCTGCATAGAAGGCAAATCATCTAGTACTTTTCATACAAAATAGTTCTTTGCCAGGTACAGTGGCTCACACCTATAATTCTAGCACTTTGAGAGGTCGAGGTGGGAGGCCTCTTTGAGCCCAGGAGTTCAAGACCAGCCAGGACAACATAGTTGCACCCCCAACTCCACAAAAAATTTAAAAATTAGCTGGGTGTGATGGTGTGTGCCTATAGTCCCCCAACTACTCAGGAGGTTGAGGTGGGAGGATCACCTGAGCCTGGGAGGTTAATGTTGCAATGAGCTGTGGTCACATCACTGCACTCCACCCTGGGCGACAGAGGGAGACTATCTCAAAAAGAAAAAAAGAAAGCTTTTTTATACACACTTCGGTTAATCTTTTAGTTCTAGAATCCCAGCAACTTACAACTGGAAGCAAAATAATTCCCTGAAATTCACCTATTACATCCATTTTTCAATTGGTTCTGCCTTCAAACAGGGAAGTATACTCCAACAATGGGCATAACACAGAGTCCACTGATCTGAATGTGAGTTTCAGGACTGAGATGCTACAGAGAGGGCTAACAGAACTTTCCCTTTCAAGACAAGGTCCTCTCACCTTGTACGGGGGTTGCGGGTGGACAAGAATGCCACCCTCAGTCCTCTGAAGTGACTGCTTCACTTGTTCCAATTTAATGGCCAGGTGAGCCTCAAAGTATTTGCGCAAGGCCATGCAGGTATGTTTCCCAGTTTGGCGGCTAGCAAATATTTCATCATCACTCAGAAGTGCACCCTGATCTTCCAAATTTAGAATCTCCAAAGTACTGATCTATTAAGATCCAAAATATTGGGGTAAAAGAGGGGAAAAGGCAAGAGTTAAGAAAAAAGATTAAAAAATGGGAAAATATTTTAGTAAACTTTTTTTATTTTCCACACACATTCTGCTTATGTATCAGTAAACTTTTATGCTTAACAATACTGACAAATATCAAACCATATTTATGTATATCTATGTATATAACATGATAACAGTAGCTATATGAAAACAAAACATTAAACCCATACCGAAAAATGAACAAGCTTTTAATCACAGCAAAAAATATACAGGCATAAAACTATTGCTTTTAGAAAGATCAAGATCATCAACTGCCAATCCCCGTGATAAGATTACTATATCCAAGGCAAGTCTACAATGGCACAGTGTCCTCAAACTACTAAAGAAAAAGAGAAATTTGTGAAGGAAGGAAAAAAAAAACAAAAAAACAACTTCACAAAAAGAATGGCAGCAAAACTCCTCTAACCAAAAGCTTCCTTTCTTCAAGGGTGTGCTGTTAAAGGGCAGCCAAGACAACCAGGACCCTTAATCCTAGTGAGAAAAGCACTGAAATAATCTCACCAAGTTCACCAGACGACGAAGACCATCATAGCGGTCAAAGAGCTCCAAGACGGCCCGAAATGAGAAGCAAATTGAAAAAAACATGGTAGCATGGCAGCATCCTGAAGCATGAGAACACTCCATTAACCACAGGGTATAGTTCACCACATCAGACAGAACATTGTGGGGATGCATGCAAACCTGCAAAAAAATACAAATAAAACAATGCTTTTAAATTGTGGGCAAAGGAGCCCTCAAACAGGATGAAAAATTCACCAGTATAGATATCTGCAGAATACAATGACCATTTCCAATCAAGTCACTCTTAGTACAAAGTTTAGGTTATAATACAAAGGCAATTTTAGAACACAATCCATTCCAAACCTGAAAACGACCTAAATTTAGATAAATATTTAAATACAACCTATACTTACTAAGTGCCAACAAATATTTACATTATTTACTACTCACGAGGGCTCCATTATACAGGTATTAGGATTCTCACTTAAAAGAAGAGGAAGAGGTAAGGAACTTCTCCAATGTGATAAAAGTGGCTCAGATTTCTGATCCTAAGTCTAGGAGTTTGGTATTCATTCTCTGGTTAATTCACACACATTTTTATGTCTACTATGGGTCACAAAATGAAATTGTAAAGCATCCCCAGGTTTTCTTGATATTTTTTTCTCTATCTTAGCCATAAGTAATTTTGTATGTACACACACAGATTAGTTTATTACTCCCAAAAGACTACCTATCTTGTATAAACACCAAAAGAAAAATTAAAACTGATATTATTAAAAGGCAAAGATAATGTCATAGCTCAAGAAGAAATTACCCATTTCACTCTACCAGAAAAGACACACCAAATAAGAATACTAGAAAAATGTTCCAGGAATAGAACTAACAAGAACTTTGCTTTCCTAGGGGATCCCAGGAGCCCATCACTTTTCAAATGTACAACCCACAGCCTGGGCAAAATGGCAAAACCCGGCCTCTACAAAACATTTAAAAATTAACCAGGTGTGGTAGTGTGCCCTTGTTGTCCCAGCTACTTGCAAGGATGGTTTGAACCCAGGAGGCAGAGGCTGCAGTGAGCCAAGATCATGCCACTGGACTCCAGCACAGGCGACAGTCAGACCCTGCCTCAAAACAAAAACAAAAACGAAAAACCACATACATATGTATAACCCATTTACACTTTTAAAAAATCACAAAGCCAGGCATGGTGGCTCATGCCTGTAATCCCAGTACTTTGGGAGGCCGAGGTGGGTGGATCACTTGAGGTCAGGAGTTCGAGACCAGCCTGGCCAACATGGTGAAACCCTTTACTACAAACACAAAAATTAGCCGGGCACAGTGGTGGGCGCCTGTAATCCCAGCTATTCTAGAGGCTGAGACAGGAGAATTGCTTGAACCTGGGAGCTGGAGACTGCAGTGAGCCAAGATGGCACCACTGTACTCCAACCTGAGCAACAGAGCAAGATTCTGTCAAAAAAAAAAGAAAAAAAAAAGTATAAAAAGTAGCCAGGCATGGTGGCACAAGCCTATAGTCCTAGCTACCTAGCAGGCTGAGCACTTGGGCAATAGGGCGAGACCTTGTCTCTAAAAATATACACACATATACACCCCTATATACAATATAAATTTGTGTGTGAATGAATCAGTGAGAGACTAGGTCTGTTGCATGTGGCTTTTTTTTTTTTTTTTTTTTTTAAACAGAGTCTTGCTCTGTAGCCCAGGCTGGAGTGCAATGGCAGTCTCGGCTCACTGCAACCTCCGCCTCCTGGGTTCAAGCAATTCTCCTGCCTCAGCCTCCCAAGTAGTTGGGATTACAGGCATCTGCCACCATGCCTGGCTAATTTTTGCACTTTTAGTAGAGATAGGGTTACATCATGTTACCCAGGCTGATCTTGAACTCCTGATCGCAGGTTATCCACCCGCCTCAACCTCCCAAAGCACTGGGATTACAGGTGTGAGCCACTGTGCCCAGCCTGTTGTTTTTACAATAACTCATAAACGTCACTCCACTAAGACATCAGAAAAGTACCTGAAGGCTAATCTTAATGCCATAGAAATGGCAAAAACTAAATAAAGCTCCCAGACTCCAATCCACCCAGCATTTTCCCAGTAGAGTCAGAAAAAAATAGAATCATTTCTAAACAATTTTACATTTTTAGAATGCTTTATAAAGACTAGATATTCACGTTCCTTGCTTCTTTCATTAAAATTTATTTATTCAACTATTGTTTTTTTCTTATCCAAAAGTCATTCTGCAAATGTGATCTTTTAAAAAGGTTGTCCCCAACCAAATCTCATCCCCACAAACCTGTATAGATGAGACTTACTCTTTCCATGGCATCCTGATTGTAGGATAGGTAATACAAACACATAGATACACCGGTTGCAGCCATAGAAGGACGAGGTATTTCCAGTAATTTCTGTACTCCACCATGCGCAACAAATTCTGTGGCAAATTTGTTATGGAGCAGGAGAGATGCTAGGTGCTAAAAAATGAGGACACAAATTACCACAAAATAACCTAGAAAATTAACAAAATCTCTTGACCTAATATTCAGTTAAGCTGTTAAATACAAAAGTCCTCTAAGGAGACAACCAATCCCTCACAAAAGAAAACCTAATATTATTTAAAATAAACAAAAAGACTAAGATTCCTTAACATTTCTCTTTTCTTTCCTAACACCAGGGATCTTTTTTTTTTTTTTTTTTTCCAGATGGAGTTTCACTCTTGTTGCCCAGGCTGGAGTGCAATGGCGCAGTCTTGGTTCACTGCAACCTCCGCCTCCTGGGTGCAATCGATTCTCCTGCCTCAGTCACCTGAGTGGCTGAGATTATAGGCACCTGCCACCACGTCCAGCTAATTTTTTTATTTTTTAGTAGAGACAGGGTTTCACCATGTTGGCCAGGCTGGTCTTGAACTCCTGACCTCAGGTAATCCGCCCACCGGGGCCTCCCAAAGTGCTGGGATTACAGGCGTGAGCCACCATGCCCAGCCTGATTTTTTTATGAAGGTGAAAAATATTGCTATAAGGGCTGGGTGCGGTGGCTCATGCCTGTAATCCCAGCACTTTGGGAGGCCGAGGTGGGCAGATCACTTGAGGTCAAGAGTTTGAGATCAGCCTGGCCAACATGGTGAAACCCTGTCTCTACTAAAAATACAAACAATTCGCCAGACATGGTAGTGGGTGCCTGTAATCCCAGCTACTCGGGAGACTGAGGGAGGAGGATTGCCGGAACCCGGGAGACAGAGGTTGCAGTGCGTCAAGATTACACCACTGCACTCCAGCCTGGGCGACAGAAGGAGACTCTGTCTCAAAAAAAAAAAAAAAATTACTATAAGTAATGATATTTGTCAGGTGGCGTGTCTCACTCCCGTAATTCTAGTACTTTGAGAGGCCAGGGTGAAAAGATTGCTTGAAGTCAGGAGTTCAGGGCCAGCCTGGACAACACAGCACAACCCATCTCTACAAAAAATTTAAAAATTAACCAAATGCAGTGGCACAGGCCTGTAGTTCCAGTTACTTGGGAGGGTGAGGTAAGAGGATCGCTTGAGCCAGAGAGTTCAAGGCTGTAGTGAGCTAGGATCAATTGTACCACTGCACTCCAGCCTGGGTGACAAAGTAAGACCCTGTCAGTCAATCAATCAATCAATAACCCTACAACCATTTTACTATTACATATTTAGGTTGGTGAAAAACTGCAGTTTTTGCCTTTGAAAGCAATAGCAAAAACTGCAGTTACTTTTGCACCAACTTAATAGCTTCCCTAACGGACTTTTGCTAACCTTCCCATTTTAATCCTTTTAATATAAATAGCTCTATATCCTAGCTTTTGCTCAATGACTCATCAACTAATGAATTCCCAAAATCTGCCTTCCTTTAAATTGATCAATATATCCCCAAAAGAAGAATCTTGAGCAAATTATCTAAACAAGTATATTTTTAGAACTAACCATGTGCATTTTAAATAGATGTCTTAAAGGTTATCTTTTAAGGTTTTTTAACTGCCTGTTCAAGTCCCACTAGCCTCTCTGGGTGGACTTGATCTCCTGCACAATGTTATGAGCAAAGAATATAATCCAAGCAGCAGGCTGCTTGATGACTCTGAACCTAGGCCAACATAAACAGGGCCTTGGGAAAGCTAGAGCTCCCCCTACTGTTTCCCACGTCAAGGTATCTTCCAGGTACCAACAACATAGATTTGTAATTACATGATTTGATATCTGCACAAATCTCACTAAGGTCAATGGAAAAAAACAGGGATGTGCCCTCTTAAAAAAAGTTCTCTCAACAACCAGGCTCAGGCTAACCCTTATATATAATTCAAATCCCTTCTATCATTACCCTACTTTTTGTTTGTTACACAACACTCTACCACACTTCCACACACTCCTTCCCGCAAGACACAGCTAAACTATGTGACACCCATTATAATTCTCCACACAAAAACCTATAAAAATAGCAACTGCCCAATCCCTTCTTCCATTGCACCCTGTTCAGGACCAGAAATTGTATCTGAAAGCAATATCGTTGGGCCACTGGAGACAACTTTGACCTCCAGCTTCATCCCACTGTGCAAAGTATAACCATGAGCTTACACACTTAATATACACACACACCAAATCCCACATGTAGAAACACGTTACTCTAATTATGCCTGACCTCCTCCAAACTTGAAATTTCTGAAAGTTAAAAGGCAAATTTCCTCATTTCTATTCCATTTCAAAATACTTTGGAACTATACTACTTTGGCCAACATGGTGAAACCTAGCCTCTACTAATAATACAAAAATTAGCCGGCCATGCTAGCACATGCCTGTAATCCCAGCTACTCAGAAGGCTGAAGCAGGATAATCACTTGAAACCGGGAGGCCAGGGTTGCAGTGAGCAGAGATCGTGCCACTGCACTCCAGCCTGGGTGACAAGAGCGAAATTCTGTCTCACAAAAAAAAAAAAAAAAGAAAAAAATTATAGGTTTATATGTCTGTATCTCTTAACAAACAAAAAATGACAAAGACTTGATTTATTTATTCGTTGGCCTCCTTGTATCCCTCGTACCTGAACATAAGCATCTGGCCCATAAAAAGCACTCAATAAATGTTCAGTAAAGAACAAACACAAAAATAAAGTTACCAAGTGGTAGTAAAATAAGCAGTTCGGCAAAGGGAAGATATACTAGAAGATGATTAAAGAAAAAGCAAGAAGAGTGTTGTGTCAAGATCACCGATGAGCACATCACAAAAGTTTGATCCAACCTTGGTCCCCAGAGTTTTCACAAATGCTCACTGAAGAAAATTCCCAGGACGATTTGCGGGCCTCTCAAAACTTCTGCTTCGAGACTTTGATAAAGAACCTTAGTAACTTGACTACACACCCTAGTACTGAATTCCCTTACCATCTACCAGAAAATTCACCCCAACAATATACAGGAGCAGTGATCCTCAGGGAAGTCAGAGATGAGTTGCTCTACAGGAGAGGGGTAAGAACACTGCTGTCTGTGTAGAAAGAAAAGGATGGCAAAACTGAGATACATGTTACGCAGCAGAGTTCCTAGGCTTGAAAGAAAACTAACAAACAATGGGCTTAAGAGAGTTCAGAATGAATCAAGTAGTGGACCATTCAGATGTCGCTGCAGTTTCTGCATGTATAATTGATGGGATCCTTCTGAGGATGCTAGAATACAGAATTACGACACTGAGCCACGTCAGCCATAACCCTGATTCTTGTACTTTTCTTTCTTGCTAGTAATTTTATGTAGCAGGTTGAAAAAGCTACCCCATGCTAGGATAGACTGTATACCGATAATTCTGAAATAAGTTCTAGGATGTATTTTTCTTCTTGTATCTTTTCCTTCCTACCATGATACTAATAATTTATAAAGGATTTGCATAGTTTGAACGTATTTGAATAACTTCAGTATACTTCAGCTCTACTGTTTGATTTGACCCAAAGAAGCACCAAGAGGACAAAAGTATTCCCATGTGTTTTAGAAGCCCAAAGTCAGTGAGACAAAACCCAACATCAAGAATCTGAAGCAAACTCACTTGTGGGGAAAGAATGTAAAGAGAGAATTGGGTAGTTTAGCTAGAGTATAATAGATTTTCTGGCTTTCAAAAATCTAGACTGCAATAAGATGAAACTTCGTGTTATTTTTACAATTTTCAGTACAAATAAAGGTATGTATAGAGAAATAACAAAGTTGACATATTTGAGTGTCTTTAAAAAAAAAAAAAAAGAAAGAGCCAGGTGCAGTGGCTCACACTTGTAATCCCAGTACTCTGGGAGGCTGAGGTAGACCCTTGAGGTCAGGAGTTCGAGACCTGCCTGGCCAATATGGTGAAACCCTGTCTCCACAAAAAATTTAAAAAGTAGCCAGGCGTGGTGGCACATGCCTGTAATCTAAGCTACTCAGGAAGCTGAGGCAGGAGAATTACTTGAACCCGGAAGGCAAAGGTTGCAGTAAGCCGAGATCACACCACTGCACTCCAGCCTGGGAGACAGAGCAAGACTCAGTCAAAAAAAAAAAAAAAAAAGGCCAGGTGCGGTTGCCCTTGCCTGTAATCCCAACACTTTGGGAGGCTGAGGCGGGCGGATCACCTAAGATCAGGAGTTCTAGAACAGCCTGGTAAACATGGTGAAACCCTGTCTCTCCTAAAAATACAAAAATTAGCTGGGTGTAGTGGCTTATGCCGGTAGTCCCAGCTACTCGGTAGCCTGAGACAGGAGAACTGCTTGAACCCGGGAAGCGGAGGTAGCAGTGAGCAAAGAGCACCACTGCACTCCAGCCCGGGTGACAGAGTAAGACTCCGTGTCAAAAAAAAAAAAAGAGCAAGAAGACCCCAAACTCACTAAAGGGAAATTATTTCCTGGGTTGTAAAAGGGCTGAACATGGGAGAGCAAGTAAGACTAATTCACAAGGTCCCCACTTACCCATGATGACTAAGCTGATCTGAAAGGAGCAATACAGTTGAATGAATAACAATGTGGCTATCATACAGTTCTCAACAGGTAACTACTGAGAGATGAGGCCATTGCACGGTTGCTCACATCTATAATTCCAGCACTTTGGGAGGGTGGCACATGGAAAACTTGAGCCCAGGAGTTTGAGACTAGCTTGGGCAACATAATGAAACCCAGTTTCTACCAAAAATACAAAAAATTAGCTGGGCAGTGTGGTGCACACCTGTGGTCCAAGCTACTCAGGAGGCCGAGGCAGGAGGATGGCTTGAGCCTGGGGGGTGGAAGTTGCAGTCAGCCAAGATCACGCCACTGCACTCCAGCCTGGGTGACAGAGTAAGACCCTGTCCTCAAAAATAACAAAAAATAAATAAAATAAAATGTATAACACAAACAACATTGTTGTAGTCCAGTCACTATGCCAGAAAAAAAAAAAAAAAGAAAGAAAAACGAAAGAAAACACTGTAACAATCCTAGAAATCCAAACAAAAGTTATATTCAGTCTCACTTATAACAAAGTAACTTATCATCTTTGTGTTCCATTCAAATCTTGGCTAATTTTATACCTGTTACATGTTCATCTTAAAATTTTACTTGTTACATATTCATTCATTCTTTTCTGACTTCTGCATACCCAAGATTTCACTAAAAGTTTGGAGTGGTTATGCTTTTTTTTTTTTTAACTGTAATTTCACTTTAAAATTAAACTTTAGCCTAGCAGAGTAACTTCAGTTTTTCATGAAAATCCTTATTTCCATGGTTCAACAAACAAATATTAAGGGAATTCATTCAGTTCCTAAGTGACTACTATTTGTTGATTGCTTACCATATACCAGTCCCTGTTTTAAGCAGTAGAAATTAAAAAAAAAAACCCTCAAAATTATATGCAAAGATGTTCACTGCAATGTCCCCTGTAACAAAAAAATGAAACAGCACAGGTATATCACAAAACTAAGAAAATTACAGAGCATCTAATTTGTATAGAACAATCATATAGCTACATGTAAACATTCTTAGGATACAAGTGAAGCTGAACTGTAAAGTCTAGCTAACAATTATTTTCAAAGCAACTGTGTCTATTAAAGATTAGAATGAAGCACAAAAATAAAAAGTTATTTTATTATAAGCGAGACTGAATGTTATTTTCTTTTGGGCTTTCAGGATTGTTACAATGTTGTTTATGTTATACTATTTTATTTTTTTTTTTAGACAGGGAGTTTCAGAGTTTCACTGTTATTGCCCAGGCTGGAGTGCAATGGCAGGAGCTCAGCTCACCACAACTTCCAACTCCTGGGTTCAAGCAATTCTCCTGCCTCGGCCTCCTGAGTAGCTGGGATTACAGGCATGTGCCACCACACCCAGCTAATTTTGTATTTTTAGTAGAGACGGGGTTTCTCCATCTCTAGTTGGTCAGGCTGGTTTCGAACTCCCGACCTCAGGTGATCCACCTGCCTCAGCCTCCCAAAGTGCTGGGATTACAGGCATGATCCACTGCACCGGACAAAGTGTTATACATTTTTTTAAAAAAGTAATTTTAATGACCTCATCTCTCAACAGTTACCTATTGAGGAGAACTGTATGATAGCTACATTCTTATTCATTCAACTCTCTCTCTCCATTCAGATCAGCAGTCACCTTGAATTAGGTGTGGACCTTGTGAATTAGACTTAATTGCCCTCCTATGTTTAGCTCCTTTGCAACCTTTACTGAATTAGGGTCTGCCTGTCTTGTTTTTTCCCCGAGAGAGTCTCGCCCTGTTGCTCAGGCTCATCCTAGTGATCTTGGCTCACTGCAATCTCCACCTCCCGAGTTCAAGTGATGCTCATGCCTCAGCCTCCTGAGTAGCTGGAATTACACGCGCAAGATACCACGCCAGGCTAATTTTTATATTTTTTGTAGAGACCAGGTCTCCCATGTTGACCAAGCTGGTCTCAAACTCCTGGGCTCAAGCTATCCTTCTGCCTCAGTCTCCCAAAGTGCAGGGATTATAGGCGTGAGCTAACGTGCCTGGCCTGTCTACGACCCTTTTTTTTTTTTTTTTTTTTTTTGGGGATGGAGTCTCACTCTGTTGCCCAGGCTGGAGTACAATGGCACAATCTCTGCTCACTGCAACCTCCGCCTCCCAAGTTCAAGTAATTCTCCCACCTCAGCCTCCTGAGTAGCTAGGATTACAGGTACCTGCCATCATGGCCAGCTAATTCTGTCTGCTATTTCATTACTCATTTTCTAGTTTATATTTTGTTACCCCTAGGTAATTTAACATATACAATATGTACATAGTTTAGAAAAAATTTTTGTGGCCGAGCGTGCTGGCTCACACCTGTAATCCCTACACTCTGGGGGGCCGAGGTGAGTGGTTCATTTGAGGTCAGGAGTTCGAGACCAACCTGGCCAACATGGTGAAACCCTATCTCTACTAAAAATACAAAAAGTTAGCCAGGTTTGGTGGCAGGTGCCTATAATCCCAGCTACTCAGGAGGCTGAGGCAGGAGAACTGTTTGACCCAGGAAGCGGAGGTTCCAGTGAGCAGAAATCATGCCACTGCACTCCAGCCTGGGCGACAGAGCAAGACTCCATCTCAAAAAAGAAAAAAAGAAAGAATTGTTGTTAGCTGATACAGGTAATATCTAAAAAGTAGCGCATAAGCAAGCACTATTTCATATTTTTCCTCTCCTATTCAGCCACAATAATGGAGGCCAACTCATGTCTAGATCCACTTTTTATCTCAACACTCAGCCCTTTAGATTAACACCTAAGTTTCTGTAGAGATACACAGTAAGCCTCCTCTCTTCTATCTAAACAAGAATGTTTTGATTGTTACTATTCTGATGCATCTGGCTTTAGAAATATCCTGAGCAATATAATGCAGAGAAATTACATATTAAAACACACAGGCACATCTCTGTCAATAAAATGGTCAGTGACACAGGGTATGGTGGCTCATACCTATAATCCTAGTACTTTGGGAGGCCAAAGCAGAAGGATTGCTTCAGTCTAGTTTAAGACCAGCCTGGGCAACATAGTAAGACTGTCTCTACAAAAATTTTTTTAAAATTAGCTAAGCATGGTGGCATGCACTCGTCTCACTCAGGAGACTGAGGCAGGAGGATTGCGTGAGCCTAGGAGGTCAAGGCCACAGTGAGCTATGATCACCCCATTGCACTCCAGCCTGGATGACAGAGTGAGACCTATCTCTAAAAATAAATAAATAAAGCTTCACCAGGTGCGGTGGCTCACGCCTGTAATCCCAGCACTGTGGGAGGCCAAGGCGGGCAGATCACTTGAGGTCAGGAGCTCGAGTCCAGCCTGGCCAACATGGTGAAACTCCGTCTCTACTAAAAACATACAAATCAGCCATGCACGGTGGCATGTGCCAGTAATCTCTGCTACTCAGGAGGCTGAGGCAGGAGAATCACTTGAATCCGCGAGGCGGAGGTTGCAGTGAGCCGAGATCGCACCACTGCAGTCCAGCCTGGGCAACAGAGTGAGACTTCATCTTAAAAAAATAAATTTAAAAAAAAATAAAGTTTTTAAAAAATCCCCAGTGACCCAATATTTTTAAGAACTTTACCTTTAGTGCCTCAAATGTAAGCAGGACATCATTAGTTTGCTTCAGGTCAATATAGAACATCATCAGCTCCCGTGATCCAAGTTGCATGAATATGGGAAGTAGCTGAAATGAAGACCAAATACAAGTCTTAAATTTTGGTTTTATTTTCATGTATTTCCTATTCCACTCTTTGAGGATAGAAGCCTAAAGAAATGACACACCTCTTCCTCCCTCCCTATGAAGATAAATGTATACACGCACTGTAATCAAACAGACCATATCAGGAACAACCTGTATAAGACTTGACCAGTTTCATGCAAAGTCTTGTTTGCGGCAGAGTTAGAATATATCTTTGTATAAAATGCTACCATAAAACACCAGAGAAATGAACACAATAATCCCTATGTGTGAACAGTACTCTTCCCAATAAGCTTACCTCCTGATACTCTCCTAGAGGGGTCAAATACTGGAGAATGAGTCGCTGCTCGATAGCAGGAGTCATAGGATAAAGGGTATAATTGGTGCCAATCACCCAGGGGGACATTTCTGACCAGCTGCTGTTAGACAGCTCAACAAACATGCGATCTGGATCAGAAGATGAGAAACCCAACTTTTGCTTGGCTTTCCTAAAGTTCTCTCTGTCACCCTGTTTTGCTGACTTGTTTTTCTTTAATCCTCCATCCTCAGGTTTGGTTGTTGAGTTCACTCTGCTACTGGTCTTGTGGCCTGAATCAAGATGAAAGGAGATCTCCATGTCTCCAGAAGCTTCCTCTTGGTCTCCATCCACTACATCTACAGCCATGTCACCATAGTCCATATCCACAGCCTCCTCATCCAGAGGCAAAAGGGGTTCAGAAGAGAGCTTCCGTGGACTGGGACGCTTGTTTTCCTGCCGCAAAGCCACTTCCTGTAGCTGTAGCTCCCTCAGTCTTCGAAGCACTATTGCCACCTATCAACAGATAATTGGAGAAAAATGGGGTGCCTCTTTATTAAGGATTAAGTAATCCTTAATAATTCTTATTTCCACATAACTGGAGACTCACACAGTGAGCCCAATACCTGGTAATAGCAACAATTTGATAAATATGTTGCTTTGATTCCTACAAATTGATAAAATAAGTAACAGTTAAGTATTATTTCTCATAAAATTTTCCAGAGAACCCAAACCAGAAGATTTGCACGTAAAATACATCATTGACAACTGATCTGTTTGGGTCAACTTGACCTGGACCATCACACCTGAAGAGGTAGAAATTAGACATATTCATGATTTTTCTAATGTGTCGTTGAAAACCAAACATGAAAGTTTCTCAAACTTTTATCTACTGCAGGTTGTATTCCATTAGATATTGCCATCTATATTATACATAACTACATTATCATTTTTCAAGTTCTTTTTTTTTTTTTTTTTTTTTAAATAAGTATCTCCCTTTTGGGCCAACGCTATAAAGCAGTACTGTGATTCATTTTAAAAAGAGAGGGATGGCCAGGCGCAGTGGCTCACACCTGTAATCCCAGTAATTTCGGAGGCCAAGATGGGTGGATCACCTGAGACCAGGAGTTGGAGACCAGCCTGGCCAACATGGTGAAACCCCGTCTTTACCAAAAATACAAAAAATTTCCCGGGCATGGAGGCGCTCGCCTGTAATCCCAGCTACTGGGGAGGCTGAGGCAGGAGAATCGTTTGAAGCTGGGAGGCGGAGGTTGCAGTGATCCAGCTTAGGCAACAAGAGTGAAACTCCGTCTCAAAAAAAAAGAGAGGGATTATGTGTGCACTTTACTTTGAATTGCATTTTTTAAATTAGAATAGTGGATAGATAAAAGGAAGGGCACTTGGAAGCTGTTATCCTCACCAAACTAATACAGGAAAAGAAAACTAAACACTGCATGTTCTCACTTATAAGTGGGAAATGAACGATGAGAACACAGGGACACATTGCGGGGAACACCACACACTGGGGCCTGTCGAAGGGGAGTGGGAAGAGAATCAGGAAGAAGAGCTAATGGATGCTGGGCCTATTACTTAGGTGATGGATTGATCTGTGCAGCAAATCACCATGACACATGTTTACCTATGTAATAAATGTGCACATCCAGGAGAGGTACCCCAGAACTTAAAATAAAAGTTGACGGGGGGGAGGGGGAAAAAAAGGGCAGAGGGATGGATATTATAAGTGTTCACAATCAATTTAGGTGATGTATATATGTAGTTGTTCACTGTAAAATGCTTTCAATTTTACTACACATTTGAAAATTTTCATAACACAAATGGTAGAAAGGGAAACAGAGAATGTTACTATTCTTTATTGGCATACAACGTCATCATCCTTGACAAGATTAAAAGTAGCTATTTTGTGCCAAACACGGTGGCTCACGCTTGTAATCCCAGCACTTTGGGAGGCCTAGGTGGGTGGATCATGAGGTCAGGAGTTCGAGACCAGCCCGACCAACATGGTGAAACCCTGTCTCTACTAAAAATACAAAAAGTTAGCCAGGCATGGTAGTGGGCACCTGTAATCCCAGCTACTCAGGAGGCTGAGGCAGGAGAATTGTTTGAACCCGGGAGGCGGAGGTTGCAATGAGCCAAGATCGCATCACTGCACTCCAAACTGGGCAACAAAGCAAAACTCCGTCTCCAAAAAAATAAAAGGCAGCTATTTTCTATTTTTAAAAACTCTTATGGAAACTAATATTGAAATTATAGCCATGCTCCAGTACAAGGTAATCAATATGATCTACTTATTCAGATTCAGGTAACAAAGAACTTGTGAATGCTCTCCCACCTTATACAAAAATTTATTCTAATACAGTCCTTACCAGCTGTGAATTTTCATCTCTATAGTTGGCAGCAATGTCTTGATTTTCCATAGCACCTCCTAACAGTCCAGTAGAGTATGTCCTCAATGGCTGATCAGCCTCTCGGGCCCATTTGAAAAGATTCTCGACAATGCCCTCCTACAGTAAAGGAAATTAAATAGTACATTTCGGAAAAAGTCCACGTTCATGATTAACAATATAAGCAAAGATTTCAGTGTCATGAAAAAATTTTAATATTTCAATGTTCATAAGAGTAAAAAAAGCACTACTACACCATCTAATAGGTTCCTTAGTTATATAAAGTATCTGTGCAAAAGAAGCCTATTCAGCCAATAAAACTCAATCTATCTCTTTTAGGTTTTTGCAGTCAGAAAAAAATAATTAAAAAATAAATAAAACTCAAGCTAAAAATTAACAATCTCCAGAATATAGTCCTAATCTAGATGTTAACTTCCGAAAGGCTCCATGATCAACTGGGGATCACTGAAAGTAACCCTCATAGAAACTCACAATAATATATTACCGTTCTGAGAAGTACTCCATCAAAGTAGTGTTTAATTTAGGCCCCACATACCAGAACCTTCTTTTTTTTTTTTTTTAAGACAAAGTCTCACTCTGTTGCCCACGCTGGAGTGCAATGGTGTAATCTTGGCTCACTGCGACTGCTGTCTCCCAGGTTCAAGCGATTCTCCTGCCTCAGCCTCCTGAGTACCTTGGCCTATAGGCATGTGCCACCACAGCCGGCTAATTTTTTTATTTTTTAGTAGAGACGGGGTTTCACTATTGGCCGTGCTGGTCTCGAACTCCTGACTTCAAGTGATCCGCCCACCTCAGCCTCCCAAAGTGCTGGGATTATAGCGTGAGCGACCATGCCTGGCCTCCCAAACTTGTTTCTAATTACCTTTTATTATGAAATATAATACATATAAACATGCATGGTCCAAAGAACTTGAAAATCACCTATGTCCTACTGCCCAGCTTAAGAAATAGAAACTTTCTGTAGGCCAAGATTGATAAAAACATAAAATAAAAATAAGTAATACATTAAAATTCTTTTTTTTTTTTTTGAGACGGAGTCTCGCTCTGTCCCCCAGGCTGGAGTGCAGTGGCCGGATCTCAGCTCACTGCAAGCTCCGCCTCCCGGGTTTACGCCATTCTCCTGCCTCAGCCTCCCGAGTAGCTGGGACTACAGGCGCCCGCCACCTCGCCCGGCTAGTTTTTTGTGTTTTTTAGTAGAGACGGGGTTTCACCATGTTCGCCAGGATGGTCTCGATCTCCTGACCTCGTGATCCGCCCGTCTCGGCCTCCCAAAGTGCTGGGATTACAGGCTTGAGCCACCGCGCCCGGCCTTAAAATTCTTTTACCTTTTCCAGATCACAAATTTAAAAATAAAAAAATTTTTAAAGAAATAGAAACCTCCAATGTACCCCTCCTTATGCCACCTCCTGCAAGGAGGTTTAAACACTCCTAAATTTTAAGAATTTTCTTGTTAAACTTTGTTAACTGCTATATGCCTTTGAACTACATAAATTGTGATAGTGTATATATTCTGCTGCAACTTATCTTTTACTCAGCATATGTTTTTTAGATTCATCTATATTGCTGCATGTAGCACACTTAAATAGCACTCAAGACAGGCTACAAATATTAATTTATCTCATACTCATATCAAGCCTATAGGATTGGGCAGGTACTATATTTACAGATGAGGAAAATGAATCACAATGAGGCTAATGAACCAAAAGTTACAAAACTAGTTAGTGGCAGAGCTAGGATGTGAACCTAGACAGTGTACCCCTACAGATGCTCTTCACTGCCATACTCTGCTATTTTATTGGCTTGACCAATAATGATGATATAAACTATGTTTGTGCTAGCCAAGTATCTAACATACAAACCTAGGAACAGAACTGCTAGGTCATAGGGTATGTGCATGCTCAACTTTACTAAACGAGGCCAAACTTTTCCAAAGTGATTGCAACAATTCACAGTTCCACCGATAGTGAATAAAATTTCTCTTCCTTTTTCCACATCTTTGCCAACACTACCACTATCAGTCTGATGGGTGTAAAAATAGCATTTCATTTAATTTGAATTTCCTTGGTTATAAAATAAGTTCTGCATTTTGTCATTTATGTGTTGACCATTCAGGTTTTTGCTTCTGTGAAGTACTCTTGCTTTTGCCAGTGTCTTTTGCTAAACAAAAGTTTGTTTTTTTTTTGTTTTTTTTTTTTTGAGGCGGAGTTCGCTCTGTCGCCCAGGCTGGAGTGCAGTGGCCGGATCTCAGCTCACTGCAAGCTCCGCCTCCCGGGTCTTCGCGCATTCTCCTGCCTCCAGCCTCCCGAGTAGCTGGGACTACAGGCGCCCACCACCCGCGCCCGGCTAATTTTTTTGTATTTTAGTAGAGACGGGGTTTCACCGTGTTAGCCCAGGACGGTCCTCGATCTCCTGACCTCGTGATCCGCACCTCCGGCCTCCAAAGTGCAGGGATTACAGGCGTGAGCCACCGCGCCCAGCCTGTATTTTTTTTTTTAGTAGAGACGGGGTTTCACCGTGTCAGCCAGGATGGTCTCGATCTCCTGACCTCGTGATCCGCCGTCTCGGCCTCCCAAAGTGCTGGGATTACAGGCGTGAGCCACCGCGCCCCGGCCAACAAAAGTTATTTTTTTTTTTGAGCACAGTCTTGCTCTGTCCACCCAGGCTAGAGTGCAGTGGCGCAATCTCGACTCACTGCAACCTCTGCCTCTCCAGATTCAAGCGTTTCTCCCTGCCTTGGCCTCGCCGAGTAGCTGGGATTACAGTGCATACCACCA